CGTGTACAAACGTAGCCCGCAAAACGAATGAGAACAACTATGAAACCAAAGAAGTAACCCGGTGCTAAGTCTTAAGAACTTCATTATGGTAAATAAATAAGCACGTGGGACCCAAAGGGTCATAAGGTTGAAAAATACAATTCAACTATACATTGACCATGGAAAAGATTCTAAAGATCTACCCTGAAATATATGGTAAAAATATCATATTTCACAAAAAATATAATGTACCTGCTACTTATTAGTTCAAAGTGTCTATAAAAATCTAAAATATCATAATCTAAGTTGAATGATATCTTGTAGATTGTCCTAGCTAGTGATGTTTCTAAAATTATGAATACATAATAACTAAAATAAATCAGAATGATATTGAGATAATCGTAGCACTCAAAAGTATAACCATACATTTGGATTGAGTACGACATAAAGGTCGGAAATTAAGGTACGGAAAAGGTTTAGAGAAAATATCACCTACCAGATCATATGGTAGTTTTCCAAGGCTACTCTAAAAATAAAAATTATACTATTTAGTGGAGCTGGGATATGTAGATTAATCGTTATATTTATTCGGGGTTTGTGCATGTTATGAGTGTCGACTCATGATCATGTTGACAAGATCATGAACTTATTAGAGAGCTGGCTGTTTGGATTCCTTTTATGCAATCAATTTTTGATGTCTATTTCAAACATCCTATTAAAAGGAGGACTCAGCTTGATAGTCGAGAACATGGATTCTAGTATTACATAGTGAATATATCAAAATATGCAGACTGAAGAAAGGGAATGTCAACATGCATGTCAGAAAACGTGATGACCAGTGGCCTCGTTATTGGCCATATTATCGCTTTCATTTGTTAACAATATTTTAAAGGACCCACTGATATTGAAGAGAATCAAGAGAATATTGCGATCCTCTCAGATTTTCGAAAATTCAGAAAAACATATAATTCTTCAAGACTTCCGTCCGCTCATCACATTCTATATTGATTCCATGCGTCTCCTTTTTCTTCTTTCAAATGATAGCATCGTACAAGAGACTTGTGCCAAATCTCCCTCACCCGGGGGAGAGAATCAAATCAAGGCTATTTAATGTGAAGTCCGAATCCCAGTTGAAAAATACACTGGAGGAAACCGTGTAAGGTGTAAGCCACAAAATTCTTTCAATCTGGAAACTAAGCCGACAAATAAAATTACAGGTCGAAGTCCACTTTCAACAGTAGCTAGGAAAGTGGCTAGATTGAAAGTCACTGGTCTTTTGTACCTTTGGTTGATCAGCGGAGTCAACGGAAGCGAGTCATCAGCAGTGGTCTGGTCCTCTCCAGCACGGAAATGATCAAGATTTTCGTCAAAGTACTGTACTCTAATCCTTAACAACTGAAGGAATAATACTCCATCCATCTTCAAAGACTCCTCGCCCATATTCCCATACAATTGATCGATGACTTCTTGCCTCAATCGCTGGCGAGTAGAATTTGTACGACGCACATGTTTTCTTTTCTTCTGTGCATTATTACTCCAGTCAGGTATGTGAGATATTTGCATGGGGTCCGTTGCATGAGGCGACTGGGACCTCCGGAACGGACGAGTTTCGGCTCGCCTGCTGTTTGTTTCTGTACATTTCCGGTGTGGAGGTCGAGCGAGCCGAGTTGCGAAACCCAAGCTTCCTCAAGCATATTCTGCAATAATCAGCCGTACTTCATTGTTCGCTTATGAAGGCTTTAGATCAGGAAATGGAGTTTAGGGGCAGGGCAAAAGATTTGCTGAAAAAGTTCCCGACGATTTCCCGAAAAAATATGCTTTCAGATTGCAGCTCATCTGAGCGAGGCCGGCATTGTGGTATAATTAAAACTTAATACAATCATCAGACTCACCACATTCCCCAACATCGGATACGGAATGAGTCTGAAACTGATCATGGACGAATCTCTATCCGCATGTCAACAAAGTTTTTCGGGAGAACGTCAAGCCTTTTGAATATTCAATCCACGAGAATTTTGTTATCGGGACTCGGAAATGAGGGACTCGGAATGGAGGACCATGAGACCGTAGGGAGTTTCTTTCAGATAATCACTTACTCTGGGGATTACTTTCTACATCCAAAAGAATCTTTCGATGATTGAGATCCTACGTCTAGATGGTGGCTTCCGCCGAGATAGTTTTAAAATAGGAAAATTAAAACGTCCGCAGATGAATAATACTGATCAGAATTTCCAGCAAGGTTAGAAATGCATTTAAAACCTTCTTCAGACTGGAGAACAGTCCTCAGTCCTCCTTCTTGTCTCCTCTTCTGTGCACTGACATTGAGTAACAAAGGAGGCCCCAAGCGCAAAAGTCTCGAGGCATGCTTACCTATAAACACAAGTGAAAGCAGTGCAGGTATATTAACTCGTTTGTTTCTTTTGGTCTTCGATGTTCATAGAGTACGAGCCAGGCTGTTGAATGCGGAGAAGACTCTAGCTAAGAACACGTGCGGTAGTAATGAGAGTGTTTCGACGGGCCGTATTGGCTGTTCTCTGCTGTAGTATCTGTCCTTCCAATTGAGCATTCTTGACATTTATTGACGTAGACGCCTGCCGATTATGCACGCGACTAGTCTCAGGAAACATCAAAGCAGCAGTATGTTGCAACTTCAGAATATTTCTAATGCAACACCTAAAACCAAAACCATATTTATCACGATCTTATTGATTAGGAAGAAGAGAGCTTTGCCCTCCTTGTTAGCATCCAAGCTTTCCACCTGGGATTGATTTCACAGACAGATGCATAACACGAACCGAATTCTGACAAAAATGTAGCTTTTACATAATAGATGGTTACTTGATTGGCCAGATTGCGGTAAGAAATTTTGCCAATTTCAAAGGAATAAATTCTACTATATTGTTTATGAATTTATGTAATTTTGGTCCTCTTTTTTAGAATGTGGCTCAATCCTGTGTCCGCGTGAGATTGGCAGAGGTAGGTGTGACGATAAACTTTGGCACGTATGTCATCCCATCAGCCAGAGAACGGTCCTCCTTCTGTCGGTTAACATCGGTAACATAGGTGGTGATTAATTATTCTCTGTCACTTGTCCACATCCAGAATCTAGATCGCCAGAGGTATAGTCTGTTTATACTTCTTCAGTCATTCAGATCGTCATTGTCAACATGCAGAATTCAGATCGCCAGAGGTTTGGTCTGTTTATACTTCTTCAATCATTCAGATCATCATTGTCAACATCCAGAATTCAGATCGCCAGAGGGTAGATCTGTTTATTCTTCTAGAGTTTTTCATCTTGTCATTGTCAACATCCAGAATTTAGATCGCCAGAAGTTTGGTCTGTTTATTCTTCTTCAGTTATTCAGATCGTCATTACCAACATCCTGGATTTAGGAGCGACTAACAGTATATAACGGCCAGTCTGCATCCAGATGGAGCTTTGAGCTTCCCGAGGTTAGGCCTCGAAGCCACAGGCACTGAGAAGTTGATGGCTGTGTAGCCAGGACCACATGACCCACTATGAACAAATTTCTTTCCCCTATCATTCTGAAAGTCAAACTCATGGGATACCCCTACGTTGTAGAATCTTGGTCATGTGATGTTTCCTGTTGGTAAGTGAAAAAGTATAATCATTACGCACTCCGCAAAATGAAAAAAATGGGGACAGATCAACGCAACACCCTGAGATGGATCAAAACAGAGCTTTAGTGGGCCAGCAGAGGACTCTGTTATTAGAGCACATTCTAATCCTAAGAAAATTTATTGGAGTAAGGAGAGTATAGAAATCGAAGACGTGTTCTAGATTTTCAGATCTGGGCGAAGAGGGCAACGAGTGTTGTTACTATGGCTAGCTGTCGGGCAAAAGTACTTCAACTTCAAACGATCTAATTTCATTTGAAATAATTGCCACTTCCATTTGTTTGTATCACAGCCCTGTATAGAACGATTTTCTAATAAGGAGGAAATCTTGACATGGGCGATTGTCCAAAGTGATGTGATGGCGATAGAGTACATCTCGAATGCCCACACAATTTAGAGACCATATATGCAACATCCCCAGAGTGTTGAGAGTAATTCCAACTGAGCAAAGAGCGATCCATCAGTAATCCAGCCAAGAACTGCGTGTTGCATGTCGTGGAAAGAGCACAGCATTTCATTGAGCAACAAATTATGCTGATCCGCTTCATGCTACTGATGTGAATATAAATTCGTCGGATCTCGTGGCTCTTTAAAAAGAAATGCGAGGTCGCCTTCGGAACTTGTGGAACATCCAGAGGGTTGGTGGACTTCGGTGCATCGCCCCGGGCCCGCTATGGTTGTGATGCTGGTGTTCTGCTCTTGCTGGTGACGAAGTCGCCTTGGTCCCCAAAAGGTAGCTGGAAGTGATCTCGGGATCTACGATAGCCTAAGGTAAAGTCGGTGCGGTGGTCACTCAAGCGCTCTTCTTCATAAGGTCCAACTTCTCGATGGATACCGGAATCTTGCTCATTGGGATCATGAGCTTCAGTTGTACCACTCACGGGGCGTGGGTGGGTGGGTGGGATATTGTGGGGTCCTTCTGGGTCCACTGAGGAAGTCTTCGATATCTAAGACCGCTTGAAATTCGGTGAAAATGCGAGTTGTAAATGATAAAAGGCCACGGCCAACAAGAATTCTTTCTCCTGCACTGCCAATCCAGGACATTGAGCTGCATGTAGATGTCGTTTATCTTGGAAGATTCGGAGGTAGGAATTGGCAGTGATCATGGACGTCTCTTGCAAGTCCTTTGATCATGATGAATATGAATCCTCAAAGGAATATGGAACGCGAAAAATGCAAAGTCTAGGCGCTGTCGATGAATTACTTAATCGATTCGGGCATGGTTGTGAGGAGTTCTTTAACGGCAACCTTTCATTTCAAATCTAGTGTCCTTGAAGAAGTACGAGGTGACAGTCTTGGATCAGTACAACGGCATCAGAAATCACTCATCGAGTTGAATAAGCGTACATTGACATATTTCTACGTCAAGTAAAACATTTATGAGGTTCTTACTGAATACAAACTAGCTGGACAGAAACATGGTGTGTCCATCAGACTTCCAAATTCAATGACTGATGCTCACGGCATCTCATGGATACAGAACAAAAGAATGCCCTGGTCTGGACGGTGACAAAATTAATCCTCCCGAATTACTCACAAGATTGTCCAAACTAGACTCCTAACGCTTAAAGCATTTGAAATTAGAACCTTGTATCCAAATCAATGTAATCTGATATGAATACTTCGAGGATTATATTCCGATCATTATATTTCGACCCCAGAGGTCGACCTGAAATCGAAGTTACATGTGGATGTTTCTAGTTGATGGTCTATTGATATTTAAGTTTTGACAGCATGCACATATTGAGGAACATATGGGTGATAGCATCTTCTTGGTCTCTTCGTGAAAGTCTGAGAGGCTTCCTCCTCTCCTTCAGTTTACTCATGACAACTTCACATATATTCCATTTCCTCCCAGAGAACGAGATACGACGTTCATGAGCCTCAGAGCGGAAGCTGATGAAAATTCCAGCCTTCTGACAGTTCAGATTCAACCGATCATCATAGAGATAGTCCTTGATGATGCTGACCACGGTCTGCTCTACTCCGAGGGTGCAGCGTACAGAAGAATCTACATCAGCAGCTACCAATGAATGAATTCATAGATACTTCACAAGGATAAGGAATGATTGGCCTTCACGACGATGAACACGATGATTCTGCGTCCATGTGAAAGCATGACCCGATGTAGTCTTTCACGCGTTCTCGATTGCTCTATGCACATATTCGCTTTGCTGCGACCATCAGTTCATAATCAGATTTATTCATCCTCAATATGCCACAGCTGGTGTTCATTCGTCATGTCTTCAGCGGACGAGACGAATGACAGAGAAACGATAGATCGAGGACTCCGAACGATAAATAATTCGCTCAAAGCAAAACCTTCAATGGGACTGAGTGAGAGCTGTACATACACAATTTGCGATTTCTTCTGGAGGTTGCGGGGTCTACGCGGATCGGATCGGATCGGGAGAATGGAAACCAATTTATGGAGATGGGGTGTAGAATCAGCGGACAGAATTAGGTCCGACCCTCGCCCAAGAGAAGCCGTCGTTGACCTTTTCGCCATCCCGTTCCAGGGCGGTGTAGTTGCCATCGGGGGGAGGTGGGGAGGTCCCGGCCCAAGGAGGGCACGAAAAGGAAGCTGGCGACGTGAAGTGCACCGGGCACTTAGAAGGCGAGGCTCCAGAGGGTGTAGCTCCCGCCGGGCTCTGACGTCAAGGCTGGTGACATCGAAATCAGGGGCATAATCGATTGTGTAATTCCCCCAGCCGGCGGCCATGCCGGCGGCCAGGCCCACAATTGTGCTGCTGAACATGGAGCTCATCCACTACTGACTGGCACGAGACGATCGTCACCAGCCCCAGCCGATGAAGAACCGAATCAGGATGAACCGGGGCGCATACAGAAGACAGCCTCATGACGCCCGACGAGGACGCAGACGATCGACCCGGACACCGAAGCGATCGCCCTGGGTCAAGCTGAGGTCGTCGTCGCGGACGTGGGGATCGAGAAGAAGCCCATCATGAACGAGGGCCAGAACAAAGTGAACGTCCGAGTCTGAGTCGCGGCGATCGAATGAGTTTTGCAGCCTCGGGGTCCTGGCCTTATGCTCCGAGTCCACGAGGATGATGATGCTCTACCTCCTGCCTCGTGTCTCGCTCGTCCCTCCCTCCCCTTCCCCCACCATGAGCACGGTCGCTGCGATCACAGGCTCCCACCCTGTGACTCCGTGCAACGAGGACCCGGGCTCGCCCTTTCGCTCTCCAGCTCGCCATCGCCAGAGCTTCGGCAGCTGTGAATCAGATTGACCTCGTTACAGGCACACCAGCAGCACTATGTAGGTACGTACGTATTGGAGCTGCTGAGGAAGGCGAGGTATGTTCTCGAACACAAGTGTAGCTGCATGAGTGAGGGAGCCCTTGGGATCTCGACGATGGGATTGACTGCTTCTAGAATCACCTGCCTTAATATTTGCAGTGGAGAATTTCCGCGTACAGGAAAGAGACGCAGCTGTTGAGGGAGTACGTGGCAGCTCGGATCAGTCATGGCAGTCGGTCAAATTCTTTCAGAGGCAGGGCAGTCCGGTTTCCACAGTCGGCTGTGGCTTGCAGAGCATGCAGTGTCGGCGAAAGTGAAGTTGGGGTCGATTGATGCGTGCGTGCTTGATGAGCCCGAGCTGAATTTGACGAGAGAGAGTGGTAGTGACACGTAGCGGAAAGAGCATACAATTGTTACGTGGGGTCAATTGTGAGTTCATGTCTCTTCAGTAGACGCATGCTAAATGTCACGTCCAGTCTCATTTTTTATGTCGTTTGATCCTAGAACTGGTTTTACACAAATTACCATGATTTTGCAATTAGAAATGAACCGCGGTGAATAAGTACTCGGGCCCTGTACAAACTGCCCGTCAAACCATGAAATACTTTTGCGAGATAATCCCAATATGCATGTTAGTTAAATGCATCTATCGTAACCTAGTTATCGAGAGAAAAGGCTTGATAAGTTGATTGTATCTGACAATTTCATCTGCTGTTGTTCTAACAAGAATTGAAACCCGATTAATTTATAAGACGCAAAATATGTTCATTAATTCAATATTACTAGCCAAAATCTAGGGTGTTTGTTTTTGTGTTTTTTAAATTCCTTCGTGACCACAAAGCAGTCTCATGATGTTTAAGATTGAATACTTTATAATGAAGAAGATTTATCTATCAAATTACATGATTCAGGATTTAGAATATATGTTAGAATTGATTTATAATTTCTTGTACGTTTCCTTATCAATTAGGATAGAACTAATAAAATTAAGTAAAAAATCAAACTAAAGAAATTAAAGATTTTAGCTCATGCTTGATGAAGGTTTTGAAGTTTAGTAGGTCTAATATTTGTGATGGACCTAGGGAAAAAAATGCTCAATATAAACTCTTCTATAATTCACGATTACATGAGGAAGATCCATCATACGATATTTAACTTTAAGAAGTTACATCAGTGTCAATGATTGACCACAATCATAGTTCTAGAGTCCTCGAAGCATAAGAAGAATGAACAAACATTTTATCATTCAAATGGAGAAGGATGCCAACAATATCTTGATATGAATAATTAAATATGAAATTATTTTGATAAATTAAGTACTATAAAAATACTCAATTTTTTATGTTATCAAATGATAATGAAGTAAAAAGACCAGATTGTAAATTTTAAAAGTAAATATTACTAAATATGTCAAAGATCGCGTGTTATATATTTCTGTTCACGTGTAATTTGATATGTGACGTTAGTTACACTATATCACCTTCTTATTATTAAGGATATGTCCACAAGAAATATTTATTTACAATCAAATTAAAAAAAATAAACTGTTTTGTGTAACTCTGAAATCAAGACGGACTATATCCATTCTCAAGAAAACTCAGGAAGGGTTATACTTTTTTTCTGAGTTAGAAATCAGTATGCGTCGGTAACACTCTAATCCGCGCAAAAGACGAAAAGTTAAAACGAATAATTTCGGCAATATATCTTATACCACAAATCCATTGCATTCACCAAGACCAGGAGGCTTGTCCAGAGGTTTATCCAGTCTCTGCAGCGGATTTATCTAGCAATTATTAAGATTCTTACCCTGGTACTTGGAACGTGTTGTACATCTTTGTCTCATCTGACCTATCGTCCACCTGTCAACATTCTATTTCATGTGAAATTTTCATTGGGAATCTACTAACGCTACCTTCTTGGGTTTTTAGAATATAGAATGTATATCGCATTACACATTTACAGATATCGCATAACGATTTATCTATTATTTTAAAAAATAGTAAACATTCCAAATGAGCTTTCTTTCTTTTTCTTTGTAACCTTTCCTAAAATTGAATTCTTTTTGAAATATTCCCCGCGTGGTAGATTGTCCCAATATGCATAATCTATGAGAATAAGTAAATTTTATCCTTGTTAAAAATACATTTGAATTCAGTATTTTTATTCAATTTCAAATTTTATTTTGATGAATATTTGTTTTCTTATAATCATGCATATGCATATAAATGAAATTATTTCCAGCGTGGGACAAACATTGAAATATGCCATAACCCTCAAATATTTTTCTAATATTATCAAATATATCTCAAGAATATATTTGACATTTTTCTTGGGCAATATAGACTAAGTAAGAATATCTTTGTTTTATCTGTAATTAACTGTCATGGATTTTCATCATTTACTTATTTTTAGAATTAATTATTATTCTTGAGAAAAGGATTGCATTTTTTAAGATTAATATATTATTCACTTGAAAACTTACACTACTCATCTAAAAATAAAATTATGTACTGTGATCCGAAGTGAGTACCGAAAGATGTGTGATCATCACTGCAAAGGAGATGCACCCTCTTGCGCGAATCTGTAAATCAACAAGCCAGAGGGACGCTGTTCACGCATTCCTGAATTGCAGGCATGGATTTGCCAGGGCCGGCAAGCTAGTGGGCTTCTCGACACTGTGCCTGTTACCTTTTCGTACCTTCGCCCCGAATTTCAGTGTACGATGGAAGCAGCTCTGTCTAGTGAGGGTGCGTCTGTGTCGGCCGGGGCCGCAGGGTCTTGCTCTGCGGCGGCGGGCTTAGATTGTGCCCCCCCTTTACCCCCACCAAGAGTTCAGCCCAATTCGTCGAAGTCGTCTGGTCAGATCATCTCTGCAGCAGCTTCTGCGGTCACTCGGAGGCAGAGCACTGTTGGCCCAAGAGGAAACTCTTTCGATGCAGATACCACCTTGTGCACTACGATCGTCGTGTTCTCCACTTGCAGCCCCAGGTCCACGAGGCGCCTTACAATATAGAGTCAACTCTTTGCTCCATGATCGCTTAAAGAACCCCCGCAACAGAATATCCGGACAACCAAATCCCGAGAGCGCGCGTGCGCATCACGAGTTAGCAGTGTTGTTGATTTCAGAGAGGGAAGGGCGTTCGAGGTATTACATACATTCTGACCACTCCGGGTTCTTGGAGCTCATGATAATCTGAGACCTGCGGTGGCGTAGCGAGGTATGCCAGCCATAAAACCTCGATGTTTACAGATTTTGTCTCGGAATCAGTTCGTATGCCAGCTCGTCAGTCATTCCTAACGAACTGCGCCACTCGCGAGCTCATCTTCTGTTGAAGAATGGAATGGTTTTTCTCTTGAATTCGCATGTGCATTTGGATCGGTGCATTCTTCCGAGGCCTCCAAATTGTGGCTTTGACGTGGCATAACGTGGCTGTGACAGGGCGGGGGAAAATTTACAGTTATGGCTTGCGGTGTGTTGCAATGTGTCGTCCGCTCGCTCGCGGTGGCTGCGCTCGTTCTGGCGAGCACATCGTTCGCGGAAGCTGGGGTGCTCTTCAGCACGCTCGATGAGTCGATTAATGTGGCTGTGGAAATTCAAGGGCAGAATGTGACGGAGGGTCCCGTGAATCGGGTCGCCAAGGTCGGTGACGATCGGCTGGTGGTGTCGTGGAATTTGAACAGCTCGTTGATGGGGCTCGGAGTGGATAAAAACTACGTGAGCCTGAAGCTGAGGCTGTGCTTCGCTCCGATCAGCCAGCTCGAGCGAGGGTGGAGGAAGACGAACGACGACTTGCACCGAGACAAGACTTGCACGATCGTCATCGCCAATCAGAAGTACACGACGGACGGCAACAGCACCGTCTGGAGAATTCCTAAGAACGTCCCTGGGGCCACGTACTTCGTCCGAGCTTATGCGACGGACGAGCGAGGCCAGCAGTTGGCCTACGGGCAATCCACGGACCAGTTGAAGACCAGCAACTTGATTACCATCATTCCGATTTCCGGAAGACATGTTACAATCGACATAGCTTCTGGCGTGTTCTCTGTATTTTCCATAGCATCCTTGATCGCGTTCCTGGCCTCCGAGTTCGCGCAGACGAGTAACAGGTAATGGACCTGAAGAATTGTCATTAGATGCTGTGGAAGCTAATTGCGCCGGGAGGGCTCGATTACTGAGCCAGTACGGGCGTGAACTCTCGTAGCTTGAAATCTGCCCGTGAGCTCATGGTCCACTGACCAGCTCCAACTTCACAATAGCGGCCTCTTAATTTTGGATGAATGTGTGAACGTGGATCATCTCATATTGTGAAATGAAGTTTCAATCCTTCGTCTTCATGAAGGGAATGATCTGTTAGAACCAAATGGTTTGCCTCACTGTAATATATCTTTAACTCAACTCGCTGTAGAGTAAGTCATTACCATTTCACTTGTATTCTCGACCCCCGAGTAGAAACATATTCCTGATTTTTCATAGTAGTCACGGGGGTAAACCGAAACCAGAGCCAAATGGGCCTGAAATTAACCAGATGCGAAGAGCAGTATGGAAGACTTGAATCCATGCGAAGACTTAATCATAATTCAGAAGACAATTTAATCAGCTTTGTGCAGATGAGATGGTGAATGTCTGATGTCAAGATGCCTGCAACGGAACTGCATGAAATGTTGTGAGTTTTCTATGTTGAATCGGGCCTGCAATCTCATTGCGAAGGAAACAAGAGTAAATTTGCTGTATTGAATGATTTAACAACGGGATTGTGCTCGACTAGACTGTCAAAATTTTTGGAGAAGATAAACCAATATATTGCAACAGCTGGTACCTACCACGAATCCTCAGAAAGAGAGATGGAAGATGATTTACTTGCACTAGGTTGAGATACGGGAGAACTAGGGGATGAGGAGTTTGATTCAGCTCACATGATACGTGGAGCGCAAGTTTAGGAAGAATACCCTCCACCACGTCTCACCGAGGAGTCGAGCATGATGATGTGTGCCATGGGAGTGGTAGCATTTCGTATGAGATCATGCGCCACCCACTAAAGAACAAAATCGTACGTGGGATGGATATTACTGTCCAACAAGCTCACGTTCCCTATGGGAATGTTGCTCGAGCTGGTCAAAGTTCTGGCTCGATGAGCATGCTACATTCTTCTAGATCTCAAAATTGTGGTGAAAAGAAGAATCTTCAACGAGAATGCTGTACGATATACAGTACATCACCCTCAGAATGGAATGGAATGGAATGATTGGACGGAGAGTGCAGTGCGACCTTACAACCAACCAATCATTGGAATTGCAACGCATCCCAGCAGCCTCGAACAAGACGCATGAATGCCACCACGACCTCTCCAATGCAATCTAAGTGAATCTCATCTGACGTACCAGTCTCAATTCTACATTCAATAAGAATCAAATCCCATCCTTGGCATTTTTAACCATAATCTCCCACTTTGTAAATTTTGGGAGGGACTTGACACTCCCTGTGTTCAGCCTATCGACGAGGCACAGAAGTTATAAGCAGGAAGGGGTTTTAACGAAAATCGTATATCGAGGGACTAGTAACCATTTGTCTTATTTTTATTAGCATTCACCATTTAAAATTCCTACTTTGAAACTGATGAGTGAAGTATCGAAAGATCTATCTCCCGCTCAAGATCTCCGTGTGGAAGCCAAGTGATGGACTGTCCTCATTTGAAGCTTCTTCAGGAAAAAACCCTCACACCTAACATCGATCATATCTCGACATAATATGCCGTACACTTTGTGCGCGAGTTCTGGTCTCATACTTTGCTGAACAATACTTGGCGTTGCTCATCCAACGAAACACAATAAAGAACAGTGGATATATTGATCCAGCGCTATCAGGACGTTATGACGTTGTGACGTTATGTGGGATCCATTAAAAATAAAATCTCCTCCTCTCTATCAAAATACCAGAGGAGCTAACAACATAGCGCATTCACTTAAAGTCATGTCAAGAAATTCTCTGTACAGATTCTCATGATTTGTCATCCTGTTTCCGCCATAAACTTCCTCGGCACAGTGCGTGCTGAGACGTTTAAACAAAACTCGAGGCTACAGGTTTTCGGTTGTTTCCGGGACAGGCTGCTGCGTGCAGTTCATGCTTCTCGATTTCAGTTGTTGGAGCTTCTTGATTTCATCGATACACTCAATCATTCTTACGTCGAGAAATGACTTAAAACACATTGAAATTCATCTACCGAGTCATCAGGCTTGGAGACAGACAGACAGACAGAGACATAGGTTTCAAGCTCTGGTATTCACAGTACCAAGTACCAGTCTTTTTCATTTTAGTGAGGTTAAACGTAAGTTAATATCAGGAATTCCGACAAAGATGCACAAGATTTACGGAGTTTTGAGATTTGGATGTTCTAGATTGTATTGGCATTTTCAGACATGTGAAAGGGGTTACCTATGAAATCTGGCAATTCCCTGTCAGCAGTAGTAACATTGAGGGGTGGTGGTCTCTGCTGAAACAGAGCAGCAGCAGGAAAGAAGACGAGAGTAGCCTTCAGACCTTCTACACGGACATAAACGTTCATCATCATTTCTAGCTTTGGAACTTGATGAATAAGCGCTGCTGCAGCTGTCTGGCTTGTGAATCTTGGAACTATCTAACATTCTACCGCCTTCAATGGGAAGACTCCAGTGTGCGATTCACCACCCGCTTTGGTTTGATAAATTTACGAGACTACAATTTCATTTAGGTGTCAGAGCACGAGCCTTTAAGTTGCGGTCCCGTGCACTTTCTACAAAGAATGGTCGACCCTCCCCGAGTGGCCTGACGAAGTGGCAACACCACGGGTTCGGGTCCACGAGCCATATGGTACAAACTTTGACCGGATCGATCCACAGCCGAAGCTGAATCGCCAGACCTCAGCAAAGCTCTTCGAGCGCTGCGTTTGGTTCTGGCACGAAAGTTGCAAGCGAGGAGTGAGATGAAGCCATCGCTCAGTGAATCGAACCGAATCGACGTGATGATTTGATTAATCAGGGACTTCGTGGTGAGTGAGGTCAGACGGAACCGGCAGAGCTGTTCGATCTGATTCCCAAGTCGACGAAATTCACTGGAGTCGTCGCAGCGGTGGTTCTCTTCCCTCTCTCGGATCTGGAATTCTCGGCGAATTTCAAGCTCTGTTGATGCAAGCCTTGGGCCTGCTCTTCCTCGCTCCACTCGCTTCTGTAGTAGTCCTCCTCCGTGGTGCTTCCGGCAGGGAAGAACATACCTCCCCACTGCGGGAACCACACGAGCAGCAGCGGCAGAGTGCAAACCACCGTCATGACTCCCATGAGCTTGATGCCGGTCTCCGTCGAGTACTTGGAGCTCATGAAGAAGAGCCCCTGCGTCAGCACGGCGCCGATGTTGCCCCCTGCTCCCGTGGTGCCATTGACGATGCCCAACGACCTGCGCGAGATGAAGGGAATGATGCCGAATGTGGCTCCGCAAGCCGCTTGGCAGAAGAAGGAGAAGATGAGCATGACGGCGATGGACAGTCCCAGCTCGTTCGTCATTCCCAGCAAGATACACAGCACGCCGCCCAAGGTCTGAGTGACCCAGAGGCACCAGAGGCGACCCCTCATCCCGAACCTGATGGCCACCACGTCCGACAGCACCCCACCCAGCGGCCGCGAGAAGATGTTCATCAGCCCGAAGGTCGAGGCGATGACTCCCGCCGTGGCCAGGTTCAGATCGAACCGATCGTAGAAATACTCCGCGATGATGTTGTCGATCGTCAGCTCGATGCCGAAGCAGTAGCCGTACGTCAGCGCCAGCACGAACATCCGATAGTTCTTCACCGCTTGCATGAACACCTGCACGAGCAAGCGCAGACGGAACCGAGTCTCCAGCATTCAGATATAATGCGCGGGTACGGGGAAGAAATCCCTCGAGCAAATTGATGAGCGGATGACATTGATCGAATTCAATCGAAGAAATTCAGATCGCAAGGCGATTCAAATCACAAATTTTCCACACTCCTTTGCTATGGAGGCGGAGGGAGGGAGGATGGCATTTATCGAACTCAATCGAAGAATTTAGATCGCAAGGCGGTTCAAGTCACAAATATTCCACAGTCCTTGCTATGGAGGCGGAAGGAGGGAGGGAGGGAGGGAGGGGAAGGGTACCTGGACGAAGCTGTCGGAGACTTTCTCGCCCTCGCGCTCGAGGGCGGAGTAATTGCCGTCGGGGAGGTCCTGGCCGAGGACGAGGACGAGGATGCCGATGCCGAGGTGCAAGAGACCGGGGAGGAAGAAGGAGAGGCGCCAGGCGGCGTAGCTCTCGGCGCCGAGGTTGCGGTGGATGATGTCGTAGACGATGGGCATGACGAGCTGAGTGATACCGCCGCCGAGGTTGCCCCAGCCGGCGGCCGTCCCGTTGGCCAGGCCGACGATCTTCGTGTTGAACATGGAGCTCATCCAGAACTGGCACGAGACGAACGTCGCCAGCGCGAAGCCGATGCAGAAGCGCACGAGGATGAAGGCCGTGGCCGTGGACACGAGCGGCATGCAGAAGACGGGCGGCGCCGTGATGAGGATGAGGATGGCGCAGCCGTAGCGAGGCCCCAGCAGGTCGCAGATGGTGCCCATGAGCAGCCGCGAGACGATGGAGCCCGAGACGGACGCGATTCCGGCATTGCCGATGTCGACCTTGGTCAGATTCAGATTGTCGCGGATGACGGGCATCAGAGGCGGAGCTGCGAATGTCGAAAAGAACGAGATCATGAACGAGATCCAGGCCAAGTGGAATGTTCTCATGTGCGGCGCTGCGAACGAGTGCAGCCTCACCGTCTTGGCCTTGTGCTCCGAGTCCACGGGTAAAGGGAACTTCTTCCCGCACAGATCTCTGGCCACGAATGCGCTCTTCACGTCCCCGGCCTCCATCGACATGGCGAACACCGGCGGCGTGTGCCCGTGCCCCGACGTCGTCGAACTGTGTCGCGATCCCTGCGAGCTGAACGACGAGAACACATCTTTCGCCGAGCCACCGAGCTCCCTGTCTCTGTGAGACATGATCGCCCCTAGCTCAGCACAATTCGATTCACCGGAGTTCACAATCTGGACTTGAACTCCAGCGTGAGCAATTCAATCGGAGTCTCCTGCTTCTGCTTCTGCCCGTCTCTACCTCTGCCACTGATCTGAGAGGGAGGGAGGGATGGACGGAGGGAGGGAGATATTGTGAAATCTGACTCGAGAGAGTGGTCTCGAACTCGCCGGGGATTATTCGAAATCGAATGTTGTTCTCAGAGCTCTTAAGTGTGGAGTCTGCAAAGGACCGGAGTTGACCGGAGAGACTGAAACTGGATCGACCTCCGGAATGTCAACGAGAAATGGTACGATCCGACTTACGCACACTCGATCTTCTCGGGGTCCGAGCCTTCGTTCGCTGAAGTCGAGGGACGGTGAAGTCAGCGCTCGCAGTGCGAGGATCGTCAACGCGTTGTGGGTGTTTGGATTCGGGAGTGGCACTGTAACCCTGGCAGACCGTCCATGGAATCCACAGCGTGGTAGCCCAATCTGCTCGCACAGGGAGCCCACTTGCCGAGGAATTTCCAATCTCATGGAGGGGCAGTCGCTCTAACAGTTCCCATGCCAGCTGAAGAAGTTCTATTCGGGCTGACATGGCGCCCTGTGCCGATCGAGGTTGGCCAGATTGGCTCCCAGGTTCCGCTAGCTGCGGCCGGGACGAATGTCAACTGCTCTTGTTCTTCAGTCTACTGTACCCACCTTCCTCCATATCCAAAAGCCCCCAAGAGCTGGACCCCCATCGCTCAGTAGATGAACCTCGGCTTCCCTGTCCGTATTGTTGCGGTGTACTGGTTGAGGCTGCGAGAGACACTCTCCCGCAAAGTCCGTCATCTACGATGAGGAGGAGGAAGCTCACAAAATCCCTCTCATGCCCATACTGCAGCTCTTGAGCCAAGTATCAGATCTCGTGTAAAGGAAATGGCCAGAGGAGGAGGAGGAGGAGGTGGAGAAGGTTGTGGTGGCGTTTGAAGAGGGGAATCTTCCATTTTGCAAGATTCGTTTGATCTCTGTTTCAAAGACATTTTCCGATGCTGGGGTGGCAAGGGCAAGTGGGAAATTGAACCACCGTCCTCTCGAAGGCCTTCCCGAAATCTCGACCCAAACGTCTTCTGAACCTAGACTGGCCAATTGGCGATTCAGAAATCGTCCAGGTGATGGATGGATTGATGGGTACTTTTCCAACAGCGTGGCTTTGTTGTAATTATAGGTCTCATGTCGTGCTAAGCCGCAAAGCGCTCCGATACTGACACTTGCTCCCCACAGTTCTCCTTTTCCTAATCGATGAGCTCACCTCTCCGTGGATCAATCGTAAACTCATGTGGTCCGAACCCGTCGACCAGCGATCAGCCATTAGCTACTGCTGTGCAAGGCGCGCAAATCGATGACACAGATGAGAAAGGAAATATCGGGCTTTGGTGTCTCGTCTCTACAGCAAGCATGTAGGCGTTCATCGGTAATCTTACCATCTGTCTAATCTGTGAGCTAAACTACAAGTCCGCCATGACAGAGGATTCTCTCCGAGATTGTGGCAAGGACAGGGCAGGGCATGGCATCCACTTGTGATGTATGTATGTATGTAGGACTGGAGTGGGGGGACGGACCAAGGCTCCGAGAAGATGGGTGCTCGCCTATTTTTACGCCAACTTTTCCACGAACCTTGGCCTGCATCTATTTCAGCTCACTCCGAATCCCAATTTCTGGGACATCGACTCTTTTGACGACAACGGCCGGTAATCGTCCCATGGATTGGGAGCTACTATAGGTCACGATCGAGATAATTTCCGGTTGATAATTTCTGAAAGGCATTGTCGTTTCGTTCTTTTACTCTACTCGGACGACCTGAGTGCACCTGCGCTCTTGAGATTGTGGAAGCAGACTGACTGGAACACTTTCGCAAGGAGAATGTTAGCGGTTTCTGATATCATGGAGGCACATTCTGAAACTCGACACCCATTAGAACATAAGACGTAGAAAATCGGGAGTAGCAGGAAAGGTCGTTCCCTTGAGTCTCCAGTTGATACCGTTGATCTACCTCACGCCCCTGTCCCTAAAAGCCAGATAAACTAAATTGGATCCAGTCTCAGGGCATTACCACACTACCGGCAGCGGGCACCAAGCTCCTGGCTATAAGAAAATCAGGTTTTCGTAGGCCTAAGTTTGCCAGCTGGAGAGAATTCCATAACCTCTACCACACTACCGGTAGTGCCTTTGGAGTGAAAAGGGAAAAATATGTCTACTAATTGCAACGCAGCGGTGAGAAGTCTTTGGAAGAGTAACCCAGGAAGTCGCGAAAGTACACGTGGAGTCTATATATTCCGGAAAAACCGGAATTCCAGTCGGAAGTGCCTGGTAGTTTTGAGAAGTCGATTTCTTTGCCACCTAGTATATATCAAATTGCCGCTCCCTCCCGTGTGGTAAAGGGGGAACCTCGGGTGCCAATAACAAGCGAGGAGTCGCTGCCGCTGCCGGTCGTGTGGTTTGGCCCTCAGTATCCACGATTCCCAGAAGAAGGCACTGGAGAGACGTATCGTGAAAAGGCGCTTCGAGATCCTCCTCGAACTTTAATACAGCCACTTGAAAAATGGATACTACAAATGGGTAGGACTTGGGATATGAGTCTGCAGCCAGTGGGCTTGAGCCACTAACAAGTAAAGTACCCAAGAGGATGATATGACCCCATCAAGTCCCTGTGCATGCGGTTGGGCCAAAGCCCCAACAGCATAGTGCTCAATCCGCTGACCTGCTAACCAACACGGGGATTGGTTTGAGATTCGATTTGGGGCACGTGTATTCGGTATGAAGGGGTCGGTACCTGTACCGGACGACAGTATGTTCACAATGAGCTTTTGATGGAACTGAGTTCTGTTATGCTTTGATCGTGGTTCAACCTTCACCAAAGCTCCAATTATAGGTGCTTTCGATATTCTCAACTCTCAACTCGAGTCACTCCTCAATCCCGAACCCATTTACAAGTGGATGGTAGTAGACGGCGGCGACGCTCGTGGACATTATGTAATAGACTAATACCCATTTGAATCAACTGTGAATGTTCGTTTGCTGATAATGTAAGTAATAATAGTTAAATATTGTTTGTTCATTTGTGAATCTTCCATCCAAATCTTCTATTTGAAAAATTATCCTAACTAGTTTTGTGATATAATAATATAAAAGTGTTAATTGCTATTCAGATTCAAAAGCCAGATGTTTTCTCGACTTATAAGCGTTGATACATACAGTTGCATAACGAGAATCGTCGCAATACACATGGAAATCAAGAACATAAGCATTTGAAGAGTAATCTAATGTCATGTCTTTCCAACTAGTACATCTAGATATGCTCAAGTGTGCAAGAAGCATATAAAATAGTCTATGAACAATCACCACAATTATTGGCAAGCATGAGAATGTTGAAGTATTACAGTTGCGAGTACATTGTTGCACATCTCTTGGTGTCTCCTTGGTAAATACTGGGCCATTTTGCTCTCGGGAGGACTATTACATTTGAGGTGCCACACTTCGCGACACATTATAATACAAAATCAAAAATGTAAAAAAAGATCTATAACGAAAGTATGAAATGACAAGATATTGAGCTCATGAAATTCGAAGGTACAATCCTTAGTAAAAGAAACATGGGGCCGAGTGGCTTGAAGAATACGTAGAATATGAAATGTATCTAATAGGATTCCACAATGAAACAGCTGGTAAGGATTCAAGTCGCTTCAAAATAAGGATGGTTTGTCGCTTTACCAAAATCCAATATTTAAAGCATCTCCTTCGCTGTGTTTCTTCGAAGTTGTGATTTTTGCGGTGGCAACTTGAGAACGGAAAGTTAAAAAAATAAATTATACTCGGAATGAAAGATTGCTGGAAACAAGCCAGTATAGGTTGCTCCAGTAATAGGCATAGTATGGCTCGAAGAAGCGTGGTAGTGTGAAAAAATACCGATAATGGTCAATTTTTCCTCGCAGGCGAGAGCTGGAGATTGTAACAATGTCTCTTCATTGACTAGTATCATCTTGTGTGGTAAGCACACTGAGTGTTAGACTGAGCATCGTAGAGGCCATAGCCATTACAAAGTACTCCAGACTATCAAATGTTGGTGTTACATATCCACGGTTCCCTTTGGAACTAATGGATGCTAGATCTTGGTTTTGTCGGCTAAGATGGCCTTGATGATGTGTTACAGGTGTTGCAGGTGTTACATAAACCCGTACCATATGGCCTTTAATTCTTGGCTTTTTTTTGTCAGCTTTGAGTGGAGTAAATAACGTAGTGGAAAAAAGTTTGATGTCAAAGGAGTCCACATGTGCATTGTGCACGAAGATGATTATAACATGTCCTTGGAGATCTATTTTTGGAGGAAGAAAAGCTAGTCGACTGCCCTCATCATGTAAAGAGGCAACAAATCAAAACCCCTAGACAACTACTGTCTTGAAACCAGTCGCTTTAAATATCTATTTTAAGCCAAGTGTTGACTTGTGTTACAATCGACGTAGGAAGAAGACGGTTATATGCAGGCCTCTCTAAATACGGCACATACGGAACTTGAGGGCCAAAGTGCCGTATTTCGTTTTCAGAAAGTTCCGTATTTCCAACAAAAAATCTTTGTTCTCTAGGTGTAGAAACTAACGGAGTCATTTAACTAAAACTTTGGGGTGACAATTTTTGACAAATCTTTGTTGATGTAATTGATTTTACTAGAGAAACTTACAGGTAAATCTTTGCCGTGATTGTTTTTGACAATTTCTTTGTTCATTACCGTTACTTTACTGGAGAAACTAACTGAATATTTGACTAAAACTTTGGGGCGACACCTGATGAGTTCAACCAAGTTCTAGTATTTTGTTTCCTTAGTTACTTCATTCACTTGTAGCTTTGAAAACACAAAAAATTATTCAACTAGTTTCTAAAATATCAAGAAATTCTCAAAATTTCTCGGAAATAAAAGTACAAAGATAAAATAGTGAACCCAGAACATTACGAAGTCAATGTTCTAGGTGCACAAAAATCTGTTGATTGAAAAGTTTGATTCCAGGTTTTAAAAATAGATTTCTTCAACTCATGGAGTTTTTCGTAGTATTAGTTTCACCATTTTTGAACACTTGAACGGTGTGGAGAGTGATTTCTCCTTGCTGAAATGGAAAAAGTATATTCAGAGATCAAAGATAACACCCATTTCTCTCGAAGTTGTATTGCATTGACAACAAATTCGGCAAACAACATGAGAATTTAGGTCAAAATTCGGCCGAAAACTGTCGAGTTCCTTATATTCCGTATTTTGATTTGAAAATTTTCTTTATTTTGTTGAGATACGGAACATAAGGAATCCGCCCTATATAGAGAGGCCTGCTTATATGAGGATATGCAGTCTATCTACCTCTGACTAGATAACAACAATAATAGGGCTAGACTGTCGACCCATCACTTTCCACAGGATTTTGGAACTGTGACTAGACACTTTCTACTCACAATCCTCAAATTCGACACTCGCAGACACATGGGAGTATCAAGGAGAAATTCACAGGGATGATGAAGTGTTGACTGTGGCGGTAGTAGTGGTAAAAAAGTATGGACTGACAGTAGGCCCTAACTCAATCTGCGGATCAAAACTCAACGTAACGTAAAAGGTTACCAAGAAAGCCATGGTACTCTATCTTTACCCAACTTTTTACCTTACACGTAACACTATGGTCTACCTTTACTCGTAATTACCCGGTTACCCGCCAATTGTTGGGTCTCATGTGAAAGACTCTATGATTTTCTTAGCTTTTGATCCGCAGATTGAGTCAAGGCCTACTGTTAGTCCAGTCTTGAAGTTTCAAACTCACTTCCTAATCTCATCTCCCGATCATGTGATTTTTTACCATTCCCGCAAGGTATGTAGAGCGATAATTCAAAGTGCTTCAAAGGAGGTTGTTCTCTCATGTGGGAATTACAAATGTGTGAGTAATGTATTTAGATGCTTGTTAACGTGATCAAAATAGCTCATGTAGTCAGCAGTCAAGAAACTTTGACATGTTCTTGAATTCTCCTCCAAGTTCAAGCCTATCAGCTCCACAACCGTGCTACCCTTCGTACGGGACAAATCTTCCACTTCTACCATTCTTGCATCAACAACCTCTGACCTCATATGAGCCCAAATTATTGCGGGTGGAATTCCAATTAGATACAAGGAAACTACAAGACCGAAACCTAAAATTCGGTAAGTCTGATCGTTAAATTGCAGGCTGTCCGACACTGTGGTTCTCACTGGCGATCCATCACATCCAGACTTGACATGTCTTCTTAGGATGCTTCGAAATGCGATGGTAACGTAAGAGGAAAAGAATCATATCGATTCTTTCGAGCGATGAGAATGGATCGATCCATGCACTTCTTCCTCCTCTGCTTCTTTTTTGATCATTCTTTGGCATAAGATCATGCTTCCTCGATGAATCATCTTCAAATATGCACGAAACCAGAACTGAGTCCAAAACTGACGTGGTCAAACGGCATTCAGTCCACTTTGTCCATTCCAACGAACGTGGTAGACCGCGGTCTTCAACTCCGAAGAAGAGACTGATAGTGCGAACGAGCCATCGGTAACACAATGACGGGACCCGGGAATATTAACCACACTTCAAGGGTACATGAGTAACTGCAGTAAAGTTCGGGTCTTGCGTTCGTCACAAAATTAGAATAGTAATACAAATATTCCCTTAGAGACACAAGAATGTTCGTTTTTTTTTTTTTTTGGTTACCCTGTAATTATCGGGTAACAAGAGGCTCTACCTTTACCTACCTTTAACTTACCCTATAGCCAGACATATTACCCTTACCTTTTACACTTATACTGGGTAACCCTAAAGGGTTACCTTACCTTGCCGAGGCTTAAGTGGAAACTCTAAGATGTGTATCTTACAAACACGAAGGAGAGAAAGCCTCAGCCTTCTCTCCATCGTCTCACGTGCTTCTCTCCATTGTCGCTCGATGTCACTATTGTCATTGAGAAGTTCGATAAAAATATTTTGACATTGGAAAAAATAATTATATTCTATATTTTGTTATATAATCACAGAACAATTTTAAATGGTATTGAAAGTAAGTTTGAACATCAATTCTTAAAACTTGTTTAATAGATTTTCAGTTGTTCTTGAATACTCATGAAATACATATCCTCTTTGAATGATAGTTGTGTTTGCTGTCAAATCCAGTAAAGTAAGAAGTTTTGAAGAAATCCACTTAATGAATTTGATAAGTGAAGTTTGAGTGGAATGCGTTGTAAATAAATTGTCATCATGGTTCAGATACGTACATATTTTTGAAGATGTGAAAGAGACCATTTTGCTTGAACTTGTATGAGAGTTCAAACATTACATCATATGCAAAAAAACTGACATCACATTAGAAGGAGTCGAAAACTGGATTGGCCTAACATGCATGCTTTGACACTTTGGATCTTTGAATTATTTGATTATCCAGGTTATCCCCATGGCGACAATGACTACACTCTTATCTATATCATGGAGACCGCTTCCTATGGGCAACGGATACACATGACCTTTTATCATTTCAGCCTTGTCTCTAGGTCCCATAGAAGTGTCATATCCAAAGTGTGTCAAGTCTATAGCAAAATAATGAAATTATTTTGCATGAGAGGTCATTGAAGAAATCTAAATACAGGCCATATGATATTGTGATGAAAAATCTGCTGTATCATAAATGATATATTCAATCATCAAAATCAAAAACTCTATATTTATTTGTCATAAATATCACAGTTAGAACACATTAGTGATAATCTACTTGTCATTGTCATTTTAAATGACAGCATGTCAGTGACATATCTGGTTATGGAGAGTATGCATTTGATGTGCTCGTTTTATTGCGGGGTGGTTGAGGTCTCTTACTTGAAAATCTTGGGTACATATATAGTTCCGTATCTTCTTCATCGTGCGTCTTAAATCCACCATCTTTCTCCTCACCACAATCCGGATAATTGTCAGAAGAGGTTAAAGAGCCTATACTGGTTATGGGAGAATTTCAAGTTATCGGAAACCTGATGTACATTCACATCAGGTTACGCGTGAGAGGTAATTGAGGTCAGAAGCCACGACCACGCCCAGGACTCCGCCAATTACAGCACGTGGAAACGGAAAAGCAGCAGTTAACTGAGCTCGCGGACAGCGCACAGTTTTGTAAAGGAGAGGGGATGCAACTGTATTGTGCAGTAGTATCGACAAGTGGTCGTCAGATCATCCATATGCATATTTACAGACCTTCACTCGCGGCCCCAACACGTATTCGTTCCACGCTTCTGGGACGGAGATCCAGTGGAATGGTATGAGGAGATTCTGAACAGGCTAGAAACTGTAATTTCCATCGATTCTTGCAAAGAACAGAAGATGAGTTCAGTTGGGTTTTGGAAGGTTTGTCATTATAGAACATGATTCTAAATTTAAACCTTGTGCAATCTATTTTCTCGTTGTCGAATCTGAGCTGTTCCTTTCCTGCCAATCGGCAACGCAAGGCTCGGGACAAGACAATTGCGCCAGTGAATATAAAGCGAGGACTCTATTTTAGAGGTTTTCAAGATTTGGAACTTTTGGTGCAGATTCTAACTTTCCTATAGATGTTAGTAATGTTGTGAAGACGAAATCAGGAACGCTGTGAAGACTGTAAGTGTCCGAAAAGGTTGGAAGGAGGATAGCATGAGCTTTGACAATTGGCTCAAATGGTTCCTGATTCCCGATTTCGAGACTAAATTAGTTGCTCTTTCTAAATTGATGGAATCATTTGTGGATCTGCTTAGACTTCCCAGATTTTGATTAAGATTCCAGGTCTTGGCATTTCATCAAGAAACTTATGAAAGACCATCTGTTCGGGATTCCATGCGGGAATCAAGCCGATCCAAGCTTTTCCTGTTCCCAAGGAGAGCACTAAAACTTTTCAAGCCAATTATTCACATCCAGGAAGGATGATAAGCTACTAATCATTTGTTGGCCAGGAGTGCGATGCGTTAAAGGTCAATCGCCTATCTGACATGTTCTTAAACGGTATGGGATTCTTAAAGAGAGTATATACACAAGACATTGCAGTGAAGAGAATGTAAATATAGTTCAATCACAGATGGATTCGCAGAGCAGCTTTGTCGACAAATGTGGTATTCACATATTTATTGAACATGGAGGCATCGAAGCACTCGACAGCGTTGCAGAGCTCGAGACCAGCTCCATCTAACTCGTATTTCCTCCCAGCCATGGATGGCACTAGCACTAATAGCGTCTCAACTAGTCGCGCTGGGCGGGCATAGGCCTCCACACAGAATTTCAAAGTTCTCTAATGGACGTCGGGATGTACCCTGAAAGAATTGACACGGAAAGCACAAGTCTAAGACGTGTTTAAGAATTTCATCTATCGCTGGACCATCTACATAATGTACAACCTCGTCCACGCAGCCCCATCTCCAAATAAATCCGTTCCAACCATCCAGCGCAATCGATCGATCCATCGAATAGACCGATTTAGCACTGGAATTGTCGAATGTAGCGCACTCCATAAGCGGCGCTTGAATTCTGTTGATGGTGCCCGTATTATAAGCATTAATGTTTTAAGTTATCTCTAAAGGTAGGGGCTGAACTGATCTAATACTGACCAGACTAACCAGTGTGGTACTATGAAGAGCAAATTGAATCGAATCGCATCTCGTGGTAGACAAGTGAGTAATAGCTGCCACCGATCAACTCCTACAGACAATGAATTAAGGTACGATAGACCTTATCACTTCTAATTTGTCAACTGAGGTCCATGATCAAAGCCATCAGAGCTGGTCCGCACCAACATTATCTGACTTTGACCTGGGGGGCGACTGTCGCCCTCTCTCGGACTTGGCATTTTCGGCGAATTTCATGCTAGCGTTATGAAGACCATTGGCTTGCTCTTCCTTGCTCCACTCTGAGACGTAATAATCTTCCTCGGTGGCCGTGGATGGGGGGAAGAGCATGCTTCCCCACTGGGGAAAGTGGACGAAGATAATTGGCAGGGTGCAGGCAACGATCATGATGCCCATGAGCATGATTCCGTTCTCCGTCGAGTACTTGGAGCTCATGAAGAAGATTCCCTGAGTGGTCACGGCTCCGATGTTTCCACCAGCTCCAGTGGCGCCAGAGATGATTCCCAAAGACCTTCGGGAGATGAAGGGGATGATGCCGAAAGTGGCCCCGCAAGCTGCCTGGACGAAGAACGAGAAAACCAACATGACGGCGATGGCAGGTCCCAGCTGACCCGTCAGACCCAAGGCGATGCACAAAGCTCCTCCCACAGTCTGGATGATCCATAAGTTCCAGAGGCGGCCCCTCATTCCCCACCTCGCAGCCACCACGTCGGAGAGGACTCCTCCCAGAGGGCGAGAGAACAGGTTCATGAGCCCGAATGTGGATGCGATGATTCCAGCAGTTTGCAGGTTCAGGTCGAAGCGATCGTAGAAGTACTCGGCGATGATGTTGTCGACTGTGAGCTCCACTCCGAAGCAATAGCCGTAGGTCAGAGCAAAAATGTACGTGCGGTAGTTGGTGACAGCGTACAAAAATACCTGAAGCACAACAAGTCGAAGGAGAAAGACAGAAAGAGCCAGTCAGTCTTCACCAGCTAAAATCAAGAAGCATAATTTTGAGTGAACACAAAATCTAATTGCAACTGCATATTGACTGTACTAGAAGGTGGTGGAAGTAGCGAGCAGTCGTTGCAATAAACACTTTGCTGTGGGAAGAGACCAGATGACAAGTATGAGGCTACCTTTTTGAAGCTGTCGTTGACTTTCTCGCCCTCTCTTTTTAGCTCGGCGTAGTTTCCATCAGGCAAATCTTGGCCCAGGGTCAAGACGAGCAGTCCCATCATCACTTGCAGCACGCCGGGGACGAAGAAGGCGATCCTCCAAGCAGTGAACTTCTCTGACCCGATGTCTCGGCGGATGATGTCGAACACCAGGGGCATCACCAGCTGAACGATGCCTCCTCCCATGTTCCCCCATCCGGCTGCCGTGCCGTTAGCGATTCCCACGATTTTGCTGTTGAACATGGAGCTCATCCAGAACTGACAAGACACGAAAGTCGCCAGGCAGAAACCGATGAAGAATCGCACCAGGATGAATCCCACCGGAGTGGACACCAGAGGCATGCAGAAGATGGCAGGTGCCGTGATCATCATGAGAATGGCGCAGCCGTAGCGAGGCCCCACGAGATCGCAGATGGTGCCCATGAGAAGACGAGACACCACAGCTCCAGCAACTGAGGCGATGCCGGCGTTGCCAATGTCCACCTTGGTGAGTCCGAGGTTGTCCCGGATGACGGGCATGAGCGGCGGCGCAGCGAAGGTGGAGAAGAAGCAGATCATGAAGGCGATCCACGACAGATGGAAAGTCCTCATGTGAGGAGCAGCCACGGAATAGAGCCTCACGGTCTTAGCCTTGTGCTCGGAATCGACCGGAAGAGCAAACTTCCTTCCCCTGAGATCAGTGGCTTCTCGCTCGCCTTTGCCCTCGCCCACAGTCTCCATAGTCATCTGGAAAACAGGCTCCTTACCAGTCAATCCATGCAATGACGAGCCGGGCTCGCCCTTAGCATCCCCATCCTGCCAATTCCCGGTGCCAGCCATAGCTCAAAACGATGTGCACTTACAAGCGCAAATTTCTACTAAATTTCTAATCCTGCAAGTCTCTTCGACAGATTCGAATGTCGCTGGTCGACAGTCATACAGCCAGCAATCACTAGTTCCAGTCCTCCCGAAGAGTGTCAGGACTCCTCCACGTCACAACTCCGGCGAGCTCGTCTGTTTGTCTCGACTGACATTCAGTCTCCTTGACTCGAGGTCAGGGAACAAACTCTGAGGCTCGAGAGAGGGAGAGAGAGAGGATGAAGATTGGAGTGCGGGGGCATGGTGCATATAAACGGAGCCAAAAGCTGGCTGCCTGTTGCGAGGTTGACCTGAGCTAAAAGCGCACTTACGACAGAAGCGCAGAGCAGAAGCTGAGAGTGCAGAAGAGCAACTGAATCCGCTGGCCTGGGCTGTGGGGCCAGCGAGCGTTGACGGGGAGGCCTGACGATCAAAGCGCCGCATCTCGGTCTATTTTCGGGAATCCAACTCTCCTCGGTGGGCCTGGAGCTGCTTTTTGATCCGGAGCGCCACATCCTCGACCCCACTGGGAGATTCCAACTATTCTGGTGAGGTAGTAAAGTGTCGGAAGTGCGGAAACATGCCGCATCACGTGAGCTGCGGCGACTGGTCCTTTGCTCTTGCAACCTCCAAGCGCTTTCCAGTTCATTCTCGTCGCTGTTGCTCGAATCGTTGGCTGGAAAACCATCCTTCGTACGGTCCCGCTCGTCGGGACCATCCATGCTCCATGAAGTTCGCTTTCTGTGCTAAAATTACATCATCCTCCCCAAATCTCGGCACCCCCGAGGTCCATCCCATGGACAATCTGGCAGGCCACTCGCTGCTTTCCTTCCCGAGCCGAAGGAGTCTGCACATTCACAGCCTATAAGAACTGACAGAATCATGAAGTTATCCCAAACACTAGCCTCGTTCTCTCAACATCTCTTCCACAGTCTGGAACTCTTTGCAGACATTTGGACACTCTCGAGCTTCTCCTGCAAAGAAAGTACAGATTCCCGGTGTGAAGATCAATCAATTCCCTTTCATTGCATGCTCTAGTCTAAATCTGTGCTATTTTGACTCCCCGAGCTGAAATTGGAGCTCTGAGCTTTCTACGACTGCAATCATGGCAACGGTGGGAAAATCGATTGTTGCCGGAGCGCTCGTGCTGTTCGCTCTGCTGAGCTTCGTGGAGAGCACAGTCCTCTTCTCCTCACTGCAGAGGACATTGGTTGTGGATGCCGAGATTCAGAATCAAGTTCCCATGATGGGGATCGCCAAAGCTGGGGAAGACCACTTGGTGATCTCATGGGCATTGAACAGCACTCTCCAAGAGGGACTTCCCGGCCTCGATGCAACTTACGAGACGGTGCAGTTGAAACTCTGCTACGCACCTGTGAGCCAAGTAGAACGAGGCTGGAGGAAGAAGAATGATGACCTCCACAAGGACAAGACCTGCACCAAGGGAATCGCCAAGCAGAAGTACACTTCGGCCGGAAATTCCACCAACTGGAGAATCACCAAGGACGTCCCCGGCGCTGTGTACTTCGTCCGTGCGTACCTTTTGAACTCCAACGGGACACAAGTCGCTTACGGCCAGACCACCAACGCCGCCAGGACCACCAACTTGTTCACCGTCGTGCCCATCTCCGGAAGGCACGCTTCTATCGACGTCGCTGCTGCCATCTTCTCTGCATTCTCCATCGGGTCGTTGGTCTTCTTCCTCGCTCTCGAGAACATGAGAAGCAAGCGCTCGAACGGCAGCAAGTGAGAAGCGGAGCAGACGGCAGCTGTCTCGGCTGCGAGCTGACTTCTCAATCAATTCCACAGGATTAGAATGCGTCCCTGTGATGGGACGCATTCGAAATTTAGAGCGGAGGTGGTCAACCGTTGCCAATCTTTCTGGCGATGATCGAATGGGCGAGTGATGATCATTTCGAGCTTCCTGCATCTCCTTGTAGGCGTGTCGAGTTTAATGTCGACATTTGATTTATTTCCACTTTTAGAGAATGAGAACTGAGTGATTGTAATTAGTGTACCTGCCCTGATGTCCCTCTCGTGCACCAGAGGAGTGGCTTTGACTGGAAACGATGTTAAAAGCATCAAATTCAGCTCCTTTTCTTAGTCACAGTACATATTTGCAGTCGATAGATTAAACGTTCTCGTTCAATAACATGTAGATTTCCCATTCATGATGTGTACGTCACAAACTGAAATTGAATCAAAATTGCTTCTATCCGATGGTAAAGGACAATTCGGCTCTGTGAGGATGTCTCCTCTTTTCTGTTCTGAGTCCGAACTGGCAGAGAGTGGATGTGTTTAAATTGGCCGCGAAACAGACTTGCTTCCCCGTGGATCTGGGGTCAGATTGTGAATTTGCGTAACTTCTATCGAACACTCATTGAGGGCAAGGTGTTTGGGCAGTAATGATATGTAGATCCCCCATGCATGATGTGTAAGTCACAAACTGCAATTGAATCAAAATTGCTTCTATCCGATGGTAAAGTACAATTCGGCTCTGTGAGGATGTCTCCTCTTTTCTGTTTTGAGTCCGAACTGGCAGAGAGTGGATGGGTTTAAATTGGCCGCGTAACAGACTTGCTTTGCCGTGGATCTGGGGTCAGATTGTGAAGATGCGTAACTTCTATCGAGCACTCATTGAGGGTAAGGTGTATGAGCAGTATTCTCTAGGTAGAGCGATCTAATCACAGCCTCCGAAGTGGAGACAAATTTGTATTCAATTTTCGTCCTACTCGTTGACCATATGTATATCTAAGATACGTCTGGATAGTTGAGATTCTAGGTTGACAAGCATGATACAAAATTCCACGGCTGTCCCTACGAACATCCTCACAACGACACTCGAAAAATGTTGCCGTCGCGAGCTACATTCCAGTATTTTGTCTATTATATGACAAACCCAGCTATAATCTTGATAGTAGACTAAATTGGAAACTAAGTTTCACTTCCAAGTTCTTACGTGTGAATTTAGTGGATCTTCATTATCACTCGTTCGATTTGTACAATATTTATATAACAGTGTTTCACAGTTTTATCTTTTCTGTTAACTTGAGTTATTATAAGTAATGAAAAATATCTATCCTCGTTGTTATGATCATAAACAGGTGCTTTGACTTCGTCTATTGATATGCATTTTCATAAGCAAACATAAGCTTTGACTTCGTCTATTCAAATATATTTTCATTTCTCACAACGAGTTCGTTCACACCACATGATTTTAAGTCCATTTGGAGTACTGAAGATATGTCCATAATGACATAAGAGATAGTGTTTTTTTATTATGACTGAGAGTTTATGTGCATCTAAGGCAACCAGGGCTATTTTATATCTATAGCTGTTTTACAAAGTCACATACATGGTGGCTGAAAGTACTTCGGGAGAGAAATTATAGAATACATAATTCTAATTCTAAAAAATAGTGAAGTGGGTGTTTATTATAAGCTTTCATAATCACATGGCTTATTGCATCTGTTGAACCTGCTTGCTGGAATCCAGGAGCATAACATAAATGCTTCGTAGATGTACTCTAACTCATCCTGATTAATCACCAGAAGGAAGAAGCATCATGCAAGATCCGATGAAACTAGGGAGTTTCATGTCTAGCACCAAAAGACATTTCCATAAAAAATAAAGAGAAAAGGCTTTCGGGCTCACGGAAATATGGTCATTGAATTCCTGTCTCTTTTTCATCGTTTTTTCACTAAGCTGGGATGATGTTGTTTCGAAGAGCACATTCAGTGTTTGTAGAAAGGACGGAAATCCAACAATGAATACGCTAACCACAACGTTTGGAATAACACCTTGTGAGTGCTACAAGTTCCCACTTTCCAGTAGTCTTAGAGTAGAGGCAATTTGAAGATAATGATAAAATGTCACCACTCTGCTTAGCGTCGTAGAAAATATAGATTAGTGGGTGGCATGACTTTTCTACATGTCAGATTTTCATTTTCTGAATGAATTACTAACCATGAATGGGGAAGCGGGAGCCTTCATACACAATGAAGGTTTGGCGTCTATTATGTTCAAAGATACCATGTCTCAAGGTGGAGTTTATATTCAAGACTGCATCCTAGATATTCGTGACAGCTGATCGTGTCACTTACTATTTTAAAAGAGATCGTGCAAAATCATCTACCTGGAACCCCTTGGCAAAGAATGGATGCACTGGAAATGATCCCCAAGGTTTGAGGATCCTAGGATTTGGGACTGCCGCTGTCTTATTATCGGTCTTACTTTCGACACTAATCATCAGCCCAGGTTCGCTTTTTCAGATCACATCCTGCAAGTCTTCTCGACAATGCAAGACAACCTAGTGAACAAAAGTCACAGAATCTGAGCGTGATGATGAAGACGAAGAAAAATGTTTGTCTAGTCAAATATCTAGATACTTCTGTTTTTTCCCGTATGGAGGTTCGTAGGATGTCAAGTGAAGGCATAGGCCATAAGTAGCTCAATGTGCGACTTGAAGAACTTTGCTTCAAGTTGAATGCACTTCTATAGAGTAGCTCGAGGGCGCTATATTATGGCTATCCTACGAAATTTAGATCTTCGATTTGGGAGCTTGACACATATATATAAACAATTATTAACCTTTCCTGTCTCCTACACCCAGTTTTTTAGAATGATATAAAAACAAAAATTTTCATTAAGCTTTTTAGTTGTAACGGTAAGGTTTATTGGGTAAGGAAACACTACAGCAAGCAATGATTTCGTGCCTGACTGATATCCAACTTCCCTGTCGAGGAATGCTTGAATGCTCTACACGAATGATGGATATTCGTGACTACAAAGAAAATGATGTTCTAATTTCTTTGTCACAAGTTTTAAGGAGATAACTTGTGACAGAGATTTTAGAACTTATAATCTATTAATACCGGCTCAACTGACCAGTGAAAGGTGACATACAAAAATGATTCTCTAGAGAGACTAAAGAAAAACTTATGCTTTTCAAAGCCACATGTCAACTGTTGGATTCTGACATCCAATATAAAAAGACGCAAAATACAAGATTCCAGAACTGAACATAAGTTGTACTGAAAGTACACGGCAGCTTACATTGCTGAAAAAAGCAACGCCAAACGTGTACAAAATTAAGTAAATGGGCCCATGTCTGCGTCCCCTTACAGTGCTTAGTCTATAAGATAAAGACTGTGTTGCAATCGTGTATAGGACTGTCAACAGATACTTCATACTAAGATCCGTCCACAGAGCTTGTGCTCTTGGGAAAAACTGTTCCTTCTCCTGTGCTGAATCACAGTGCGTTCTCCCAGAATATGCAATATCAAAGGAATGCTGATAATTGTATAATCCTCCACTCCAAAATTTAGCGATGTACAGCACGTTATATCTCTATTACAATCAGCTTGCAATACTCCAGTTCCGTCGCTCGTTCCGTGCTCCAGTGAGAATCATCGGGAGAATAAGCATCATCGATCAATCCCTGTTATATACAATGCAGCTCAGGGCTTATTCTACTCTAGAAATATCAGTGGGTGAGAGGGAATAATGGGGCTCAAGTAGGGGGCTAATATTTATGTCAGCTCGTCTACAGGGCCGACTAAGATCTCAAGCAGTGGAGTTTTTATAATTTTCCTTTCGTCGTCGTCGAGAAGCCGCGGATTGGACCATTCGAGCTCTATCTACGAGTAAATTGTGATCGAGAGGGTAAGTATATGTGTCGGAACGGAGGAGTTTGGCCGCTTAGCATCCACTGCAGAGGAGGGTCCAATTCCTGTTGGAAAAACGCATCGACCGACTTCAGATTCTTCTCTGCGTCACGCTAAGAGGAACGATGTGGTGTGGTGGGACGAGACAAATCTCGATGTTCTCCAGCTGTGGTGGTAGTGTGCGGAACTTGCTGCCGTGTGACGACTTCTTAACAGTCGAGGCTGAACCATTCTCTGAGATTTTCGTGTCACGCCCAACGTTGCACTGCTGTCTGTACATGTTGCACCGCTCATGCTCCTGGGCGCAAGGGGCAGAAGCGGAAACTAGAAATCGGCTTTTATCATTTCCTTGTCCTGCACCTATGGACGGTGGGCGGCTGTGATAGCCCCTACTGAGCTAATAGCAAGATCTATGAGCAAGTTAGCCATTCAAGTAGGGATACGTGCTTGAGAAAAGGAATATCAATCACTTCACGCGATTACTGTGATGAAGACAAAGAGTATTTTTTATAGTTTGTATACTACGAAAGAATTACATGTCAGAAATTCATATTTATGACCGTTTCAACTTTTTGCTGGGGCATTTGGAGCAAGAAAGCGAATTCCATAGCAGACCATTGCCCAAAATGCTTTGGGTTCGAAACGACTCATGGTACAGACTATACAGTTGTACAAGTATGCGTGTGTGTTGAAGTTTCCAAAGCAGAATTTATACCTTCGAGCAGTGAAGCGGTTCATGTGCCTGAGTGTGAACCTTTGCTCAAAACTTGAGCCACCGGTTCCCTTTCATAAACGGGAAGACGTTGGTAGAGAGTAACAACTGAGCTCATGCAGACCGATTTTGATACCATTCAAGTTGAAAAAAATATTTAAATCTAACGAGAGTGACTGGAAATAATTACCATGCAGTGCACAAAGGAATGCTCCCACTGAGCTTGAAATTGGGCGGCCGTCGTTATCCGTTATGTTTTTGTATAGAATCCTGTCACAGGCCTTCTCAGCCTCATGAGTACATCTTTAACATTTGCATACTCCATTGTTCATTTATCCTCCCTCTTACTCAGGCATAACATATTCAAGTCTGAGAAGATCTTATTATTTGAAAAACTTAATTGTCCATAACAAGCTTGGTTGGGATTGAGAACTCGTCAAAAGATTAATCAAATGGGGGACTGTGTCTCCAAAACGAGAGTCTGCATGGTGTCAATCTGGCTGGACACCATCTCATTGGAATAAACTGATTGGTGATATATCGACCTGCATTATAGATTTTATTTCTTTTTCCACTTGAAGTTCATAACTGTCATGACCCTGAAGTACCGTTGAGCTCGAAGCGCATTATATTAAAAGCAGTCAGCTGGAACCAGTCTGAGTTCTGTTACTCCAGATTATCTGAAAACTGGTAATCTTTAAAAGAGTAAGCAGCAAATATGGATTACCAAATATCACAGAACTGACATACAGATCCTAACTTCAGCTTCTATCTTGCCTTCAAAACAATATCCAGATGAACGCCAGGATACCTCATCCAGGTTTCTATTACATTGAACAATAGACGTGGTCCAGCAGCTATCACGACAGTCGGAGAGCGAGTAGAGATGAAGTCTACAGTAAATATTTTCCAGCAAAGACAGATTCTCAAAATTTTACCCAGCAGCGTTTCACAAGTCGATAAATTCCTTGAATACATGTGATGATTATTTTTTTATTGCACAGAGAAGTAACTAAACCGTCAACAACATAGCAGAGCTCGAAGGAAGCTCCATCCAGTCTTAAGTCCTCCCCGTCATCGCGGGGCTGGAATGGGTGGGTCTAGCTATGCCTCCTACAAAATTTTTAAAGTTCTATGATAAGAAATGGACATTCGTGGTGTATGATTTGAAAGAACCGATAACAGCAGACGCTTCTGACATATCATCTACATCAGAGAGCCGACAAAATGTACAATCTCTTCTACAAAGTCGCAATAACTTTCAAATAAGTCCGTTTCATCCGTCCAGCGCAGTCAGACATTCTCCAGGATTTGGTGGGAGCTCTCCGAAGCACTCCAAATCGTATAAAAGCGTTGATGTTCATCTCAGTGGAAGAAGCAGCTTCATTCCAAGCTCCGGGGCACTCGAAGTAGTGTGGTGTTCGGTAATAAGAGCCTTGGAACAAAGGTGTCTGGATTCGAGATGTCGCTGCGACTGATCGACACTTCAGGCAATGGATTGTGATAAGTGGAAATATAGTAAAGTTGTCAATCGATCTCAAAGTCGATCCACACCGATGGTTTCTTCTTTGGAAATCGGTGGCGACTGGCGACCTCTCTCGGACTTGGCATTTTCGGCGAATTTCAAGCTAGCATGGTGGAGACCGTTGGATTGCTCTTCCTTGCTCCACTCAGAGATGTAATAATCTTCCTCCGTGGCCTTGGACGGAGGGCAGAACATGCTTCCCCACTGAGGGAAGTACACGAACAGAACCGGCAGAGTGCAGGCCACGATCATGATGCCCATCAGCATGATTCCGTTCTCCGTCGAGTACTTGGAGCTCATGAAGAAAATTCCTTGAGTGGTCACAGCTCCAATGTTTCCACCTGCTCCAGTGGCGCCAGAGATGATTCCGAGTGATCTTCTGGAGATGAATGGAATGACACCGAAGGTGGCTCCGCAAGCTGCCTGGACGAAGAACGAGAAGATGAGCATGACGGCGATGGCAGGTCCTAGCTGACCCGTGAGTCCCAGAACGATGCACAGAATTCCTCCCACGGTTTGGATGATCCACAGATTCCAGAGGCGACCTCTCATTCCCCACCTCGCGGCCACAACGTCAGACAGGACTCCTCCCAGAGGGCGAGAGAACAAGTTCATGAGCCCGAATGTGGATGCGATGATTCCCGCAGTTTGCAGGTTCAGGTCGAAGCGATCGTAGAAGTACTCGGCGATGATGTTGTCGACTGTGAGCTCCACTCCGAAGCAATAGCCGTAGGTTAAAGCAAAAATGTACGTGCGGTAGTTGGTGACAGCGTACAAAAACACCTGAGCGCACCAAAATGAAGACAAAATGTCAGTTGAGTTCACCCGGAGTCATCACTAACAACTCAGAAATGAGGAGAATACAAGTGCGCTGGCGGAGACGAAAGGAAATTGAGTGTGTACAATCTCACCTTCTTGAAGCTGTCGTTGACTTTCTCGCCTTCTCTCTTGAGCTCGGCGAAGTTTCCGTCGGGCAAATCTTGGCCAAGGGTCAAGACCAGCAATCCCATCATCACTTGCAGCACGCCGGGGACGAAGAAGGCGATCCTCCAAGCAGTGAATTTCTCTGATCCGATGTCTCGGCGGATGATGTCGAACACCAAGGGCATCACCAGCTGAACGATGCCTCCTCCCATGTTCCCCCATCCGGCTGCCGTGCCGTTAGCGATTCCCACGATTTTGCTGTTGAACATGGAGCTCATCCAGAACTGACACGACACGAACGTCGCCAGGCAGAAACCGATGAAGAATCGCACCAGGATGAATCCCACCGGAGTGGACACCAGAGGCATGCAGAAGATGGCAGGCGCCGTGATCATCATGAGAATGGCGCAGCCGTAGCGAGGCCCCACGAGGTCGCAGATGGTGCCCATGAGCAGCCGAGACACCACAGCTCCAGCGACTGAGGCGATGCCGGCGTTGCCAATGTCCACCTTGGTGAGTCCGAGGTTGTCACGGATGACGGGCATGAGAGGTGGCGCAGCGAAGGTGGAGAAGAAGCAGATCATGAAGGCGATCCACGACAGATGGAAAGTCCTCATGTGAGGAGCAGCCACGGAGTAGAGCCTCACAGTTTTGGCCTTATGCTCGGAATCCACCGGAAGAGCAAACTTTCTTCCCCTGAGATCAGTGGCTTCTTGCTCACCTTTGCCCTCGCCCACAGCGTCCATCGTCATCTGAAAAACAGGCTCCTTACCAGTCACTCCATGCAAAGACGAGCCGGGCTCGCCCTTGGCATTCCCGTCCTGCCAGTTGTTGTTGGCAGCCATAGCTCAGGACTCCGAGTGTCAGAACGAAATCCAAACGAGAAAGTCGTGAAGCTCAGCCCAGATACACTGTGGTGCAGAGTTCTAGGCTGGGTTTCACCAACTTTGTAAACCTATGACTCTCCTCTAACGAAGCTGTGTCAGAAGCTCTCAACATTCAAGCTCTGTCCCCTGTGTTTGTCCTGAGGCAGCATGATATGAATCTTGTAAATCAAGTTCAGGGCACAAAACACTGACGGGGTGAACAGAGCGAGCAGAGGCAGGAGAACCTGACAAAGACACGAGAGAGAGACACTTGAGAGGATGAGTTTGGAATGGCAGAGTTGGGCTCTTATACACAGAGAGAGCCTCGCTCTAGACGAGAGCTCGAGCTAGCGATGTAAGGACTCAAGGCTGCTCACCGAGCTGCAGAATCCGAAGGCACAGGAGTACAGCACCTGAATCGGTGGCGTGAAGCCGAGCCATGGCCGTGGGGACAGCAAACCAGAACGCCGCATTCCGGTCTAAACAGGGCTCAACTCTCTCCTTCACCAGTGAAGGTTGGAGTCGTTTCCGACACAGATCGCCGCAGAATTGCATGCCGTTTGACTCCAGTCGGTACGGTTGCCCTTGTGAGTTGTGCGCTCGAATTATTCGTGCTGATTCTGATCTGACAATGAGTCCACTTGTCGGAAATTTTAGAACAATTCAAATGCGCGTTTCACTATTTTGATTAAAATATTCAAAAACAAAATCATTTCCGTGTCGAGCCGAAGAGTTTTGAATGCACGAATGAGATATGGTGTGGTGCGGCGTCCAGTTTTCTCTCCAACGACCTTCGGAAGGTTTCAGAGTTCATCTGTGTCACTGGATCTCAATTTGATGGCTAAATTCTCTCCCTCGTACGTACGGCTTGTTGTTTGTTTGTGCTTACCGGGCAGTCAATCGGGCTTGGGAATAAGCATTTTCTTTCCTGGATTCGAGCAAATCGTAATCATGTACGCAGGAGAATCTGGGAGAGGCTGCCTGTCCCTCCACCCCTCGAGACTTGTCCGCACGCGGATGGGCTTATAAGGAGTAATTGAGTCTCGAGTTTCAATAGCAGTCTCTCGTTCTCCTTTTCCCCTGAAGTTTCCAGCGATTCTCTCCGCTCTGGGTCTAAGCTACTCGTCTGCAGTGAATCACGCCTTGATCTGCACAGAAAGAGCACACTCCGGAGCTGGGGAGTCGTCTGTCTGCTTCAGATACAACCTCGTCTTGAGTCCTCCAGTTTAAGCGCAATCCGGCACCACTCTGCTGCTGCTGCTGCCACTCGGTCTCAAGCTCTTTTTGCGATGGCCCCGGCAATGGGACAGTCACTCCTTTGTGGAGCATGGGTTCTCTTTGCTCTATTGAGTTTCGTGGATGCGACGGTGCTCTTCTCTACACTGCCGAGGACTCTCGCGGTGGAAGACGAGATTCAGAATCAGGTGCCCGCGATGGGACTGGCAAAAGCAGGCGACGACCACCTGGTGATCAGATGGGTTCTGAACGCTACTACCCAGGAACCAGCAGCTCCTGGCCTCGATGCATCGTACGAGAAGGTGAGCTTGAAGCTGTGCTACGCACCTGTGAGCCAAGTGGAACGAGGCTGGAGAAAGAAGAATGATGACCTTCACAAGGACAAGACCTGCTCCAAGGCCATCGCCACACAGAAGTATACATCCTTGGGAAACAGCACCGTATGGAGAATCACCAAGGACGTTCCCGGAGCTGTGTACTTCGTTCGTGCATACGTGTTGAATTCAAACGGGACCCAAGTGGCTTATGGCCAGACCAGGAACTTGATCACAATCGAGCCCATCTCCGGGAGACATGCATCGATCGACGTAGCTGCTGCCATCTTCTCTGCATTCTCTGTGGGGTCTTTGATCTTTTTCCTCGCTCTCGAGAACATGAGAGGCAAGCGCTCGAGCGGTAATAAGTAGTTTAGTTTAGCGCCGATTGAATAGATTTGCCAAGTTAATTAGATCAGGAACTGTTGAGACTCCTCCAGTGAAGAAGAATTTGCCGATTATTCTGCAAAGAGACGGTAGATGATAGCGATTCTGTAGAGACGCTTCCATCCTTGGTGATTTCTTCTTGAATCATGTCAAATGGCACATTCAATAATTTATTTATATTTAGCTTCTGTGCTTCGAAGTCAATTTTGGCACGATTGAGTATGTCTGATGAAATGTATGAAGTAATAATGTATGTACGTATCCTCATACGTACCTACTTCAAGCATATACTGTAAGATTGTCTTTTCTGTACTTATTCATCTTCTTCACATAACATATACAATGCCGTTCATGAATACATCTTGAGAATGAAAGCATTCTCTTAAGCTTCGATAGTTATTCTTCACAGGTTCAACTTGGACTTTAGTTACGAATATTAGTACGGGCCAATGGAGACCAAGTTTTCTGAAAGAATTGAAGCATCCATACAACTCGCTTATTGTGACTAGCTGCAGTGTTGTACTCTTGCGCGAAGAGAAGTCGTTCAAAGGGAAAATCGTTACTGTTGTCAAGTTGTACGGTAAGATTGTTAAAAGACAGCTTCTGCAGCGGTTTGCTGCTCACTTATCAATTAGGTTCACAATGAAACTACTTATTTTCACTGCTTAATAAGGTCTTCCCCACCGTTTTGTTACATCAATGAGTTTCTCTCTGGTTCTCACATTGAAAAGAAAATACATTTAAGGGTAAGACTAGTGCCACACCCGCCCGCTAATTACCATGCCCATGCTTGTCATTGGCCATTAGTTTCAGGAAACGAAGATGGAACACCTAGAGTGTCATGGGAATGCGAAATCGGCCAAGTAATCTTTCCTCGGATGAGAGAAGGCGACCCGTATTCAAGTCCCCCTCCTGCTACAAGGGGTGACATCGTCGTCCACCCATCTGGCTCCGGGGACGACTAGGGCCATACCCGTTTTTGTTACGGCCAGGCCCGCTTTTGAACGGGCGGGTGTGGCCGTAGCAAAAACGGGTGTGGCCTTAGTGGCCCCTACGTTTTATGTTCCTGCAACATCTCCATTTAGATTAAATTCAAGTTTGCAATCTAAATAGATCAAGAAATATTGAAGCTATGTCCAGCAGTTTTAAGTTTCTTTCTGAGAATTCTCTTGCCCTCCTAGTAATCCTATTCCTACGTCATATGTTGCATAGGAAGGTCCTAGAACGCAGTTTGTTGTGCAGAATGTGGACTTTACGTGGGAAGGCGTTCAATTTTAGAAAAAGAAAATGGTTGACATGATCCATGAAAGCTTTGCTCCATATTTTAAGTTTAATATCAACTATTGAGCTATCAACCGTAAGCCACCTGGCCTGTATGAATGCTTATCGAAATTGAGATCTTTTTGAAGTTCGCCCAAAACACTTATGAGCTACATAAGTATGTTGCAAATTTTAAGCAGATATTTATTCATAATTGAAAAGAAAAAAATATTATCAAGAGATATTTATGAACCGTTAATTAATTGGATGGAACGTAAGTGCCGAGCAACATGAGAAAATAAAAAGTACTCTTCTTTCAGATCACTAGTAACATCGTAACGCATGATTGTAATTAAAAACGGGACGATTCAGACTTAAAATGGGGACTTCTCAGTTCTTTACAACTGAATGATTCTACCTAATTCTGCAAATGAAAAGGAAAACTCAAATCCTCTTGCAAAGAATTCTGCTTCCTCGGGAAATTTCTTGGAACAAAAAACGGCCATCACGAAGTCTCGTCTTGAAAGGCTTTATTGCCGGCCTCATCCTCCAGCCAGTGGGAAGTGTCCATACGTGTTAGTATATGATGACTTTCTCTCTTCAAGTATCTAAATACAGAGTAGACCTTTGAAGATATGTAATCATGATTATAACCTCTGTAGATTAGGCATATGCCTATTTTTGACTAATCTTAGGATATTAGTCACATATCCGCAATGAAATTAGGCATCATTTTAAAAAAAATCCAAAATTGAGATTTTATCGATTTATTAATTTTATCGATTTTAATTAAAATAGTTTACAGAGTGATGATTCAATTTCAACAAGATGTTATAGGAAAAGTATCCTAAGCGAAACTTATTCTATTAGATTCAACCAAAAATTTTCACAAAAACAAGACATAAAAAATTTCCGATCTAAATAAATATTTCTCAACCTCTTGTTCCTGATAGCTTCAGGCGAGTGTATCTATTTTTTCCTATTTGCCCAAATGCCAAATTCGGGGTCTCAGCTCAATCCACTACATGAACTTTTCAGTTCGATACACTACATAAACTCTTCTTATATGTATCTTGCCCATGTTCAATCACCATGATCTAAATGACTTTTGCTTTCTCGGTCTCTATGAGCCAACGTAACTTCTATTTGTTAAGTTAGAAGAGGCTAGGTTACATACAATTACGAGAATGATTATTGCGTGTATCTTAACCAAGAGTTCTCTTAGAAAACATAATCTATCTGTTTTATTGGTTCATAATCTATCTGTTTTATTGGTTCAAGATGCCTAACATATCATGCTGATTACATCGTATAAATATTTATAGAGAAAAGTTAATTTTTTTTTTTTTTATTTCAACATTGAAAATTCACTATCGACACAATGAACCCAGTCTACGGACGAAATCTATCCGTACTTTTTGTTGTCAATTTTTTTCTTTATTTGATGAAGAGAGCAGCTATCAAATCATCTCACAGCAATTCGAGATCCATCAGGTTAGCCTTTAGGCAGTTCATTCGAGGTCTATAGTTCTCCATGTATACAATCGTTAGCGGCGGACATTGGATACTCCTAATACTACCAAATGAAGTCGAGGACTGCAGACACGTTCTATTCCATCAACACTCTACGACCTACGTGATGCACAGCTTCCTCCACGTAACTCTTATTCCTACTCAGCAATGTCTATTACCCATCTGAGATTGAAAAACTCTGCAATAAACATCGCTATAATTTGGTCGATCTTAGACTAAATCTATGCCAGACAGCTATCCAGGACATATGAAATTGTTGTAGAGCTCAATTGGACGAACACATGTCTGACATTCCTCCATCCTTACATATGCTGGCCAAGATTACAAATTAAATTGGCCACCGCCGTTCACCATCCACGATCAAACTCCGTCAACAACAACGGTTTCCTCTTTGGATCTTAGTGGCGACTGACGACCTCGTTCGGACTTGGAATTTTCGGCGAATTTCATGCTAGCATGGTGGAGACCGTTGGATTGCTCTTCCTTGCTCCACTCGGAGATGTAATAATCTTCCTCCGTGGCCTTGGACGGAGGGCAAAACATGCTTCCCCACTGCGGGAAGTGGACGAAGATAACCGGCAGAGTGCAGGCCACAATCATGATGCCCATCAGCATGATCCCGTCCTCCGTTGTGTACTTGGAGCTCATGAAGAAGATTCCCTGAGTGGTCACAGCTCCAATGTTTCCACCAGCCCCAGTGGCGCCAGAGATGATTCCGAGTGATCTTCTAGAGATGAATGGAATGACACCGAAGGTGGCACCGCAAGCTGCCTGGACGAAGAACGAGAAGATGAGCATGACGGCAATGGCAGGTCCCAGCTGACCAGTGAGACCCAGAACTATGCACAGAATTCCTCCCACGGTCTGGATGATCCACAGATTCCAGAGGCGACCTCTCATTCCCCACCTCGCAGCCACCACGTCAGACAGGACTCCTCCCAGAGGGCGAGAGAACAAGTTCATGAGCCCGAATGTGGATGCGATGATTCCCGCAGTTTGCAGGTTCAGGTCGAAGCGATCGTAGAAGTACTCGGCAATGATGTTGTCGACTGTGAGCTCCACTCCGAAGCAATAACCATATGTCAATGCAAAGATGTACGTGCGATAGTTGGTGACAGCGTACAGAAACACCTGCAAAGAATCATTTTCCATTCTCATCAGATCATGATCAGAGTGAGCCCATCAGTTTGATTCGTTTTAACTTCTTCAACTAGAGCTCAGAAGAAAGCCAACAGAAAGCAAACAAATGAAAGCAAGCAAACAAATGTCAACATCGCAAAGATTTTAGAATTTGGCGACGAAAGTAAGATTGGAGCTCACCTTCTGGAAGCTGTCGTTGACTTTCTCGCCCTCTCTCTTGAGCTCAGCATAGTTTCCGTCGGGCAAATCTTGGCCCAGGGTCAACACCAGCAATCCCATCATCACTTGCAGCACGCCGGGGACGAAGAAGGCGATCCTCCAGGCTGTGAACTTCTCGCTCCCGATGTCTCGGCGGATGATGTCGAACACCAGGGGCATCACCAGCTGAACGATGCCTCCTCCCATGTTCCCCCATCCGGCTGCTGTGCCGTTAGCGATTCCCACGATTTTGCTGTTGAACATGGAGCTCATCCAGAACTGACACGACACGAACGTCGCCAGGCAGAAACCGATGAAGAATCGCACCAGGATGAATCCCACCGGAGTGGACACCAGAGGCATACAGAAGATGGCAGGCGCCGTGATCATCATGAGAATGGCGCAGCCGTAGCGAGGCCCCACGAGGTCGCAGATGGTGCCCATGAGCAGCCGAGACACCACAGCTCCAGCGACTGAGGCGATGCCGGCGTTGCCAATGTCCACCTTGGTGAGACCGAGGTTGTCCCGGATGACGGGCATGAGAGGCGGCGCAGCGAAGGTGGAGAAGAAGCAGATCATGAAGGCGATCCAAGACAGATGGAAAGTCCTCATGTGAGGAGCAGCCACGGAGTAGAGCCTCACGGTTTTGGCCTTATGCTCGGAATCGACCGGAAGAGCGAACTTCCTCCCCTTAAGATCAGTGGCTTCTTTCTCGCCCACAGTCTCCATAGTCATCTGGAACACGGGCTCTCCCTTGGCGTTTCCCTCCTGAAAGTCGCTGTTGGCAGCCATAGCTCAGAAATCCGACTGTCAGAAACGAAACTGAAACGCGTAACTCGTGAAGCATAGATTAACCCGTCACAAGCTGCTAAAAAGTGCGGGGAATTGGTGTCTGCTTTTACCAACTCCGTATAATGTTGATAATCGTACAATATTTTTACGAATCGGATGAGTCAGAAGCTCTACACATTCAGTCTCTAACCCCTTTGAGTGTTTGTCCCGATTCAAGCAGTCGTAATTTCCTGACTCGAGATCAGGGACAAACACTAAGGAAGTTGAAGAGACAGAATGGAGGCAGAGACACAACGAAAGGATGATTTTGATTGAGCAGAGAAGTGCCCTACATATACAGAGCGGAAAGCTCGGTATCATCTGTGGCAAGTTTGACTTCCAGTGGGCCATAGCTAGCGCAAAATTGCATGCCGTTTGATTCCACTCGCCGCAGATCGCCGCAGAATTGCATGCCGTTTGATTCCACTCGGTACGGGTGCCCTTGTGAGTTGTGCGCTCGAACTATTCGTGCTGATTCTGGTCTGACAATGAGTCCACTTGTCGGAATCATCTGGAACAATCTAAATGCGTGTTTCACAATTTAATAAAATATTCCAAAAAAAAATCATTTCTGTGTCGAGCCGAAGAGTTTGGAATGGACGAATTCTGGCGAGAGATGTGCCGCATACGCTGAGATCGTTGTGGTGTGGCGTTCAGTTTGGCTCCAACGACCTTCGGAAACTTTCAGAGTTCATCTGTGTCACTGGATCTCTGTTTGATTGCTAAATTCTCTCCATCGTACGTACGGCTTGTTGTTTGTTTGTGCTTACCGGGCAGTCAATCGGGCTTGGGAATAAGCATTTTCTTTACTGGGTTCGAACAAATCGTACTCATGTACGGAGGAGAATCTGGGAGAGGCTGCCTCTCTCTCCACCCCTCGAGACTTGTCCGTAGCCGATGGACTTATAAGGAGTGATTGAGGCTCGAGTTTCAATAGCAGTCTCTCTTTCTCCTCTCCCACTGAAGCTTCCAGCGATTCTCTCCGCTCTGGGTCTAAGCTACTCGTCTGCAGTCATCGCATCTTGATCTGCACACTCCGGAGCTGGGGAGTCGTCTGTCTGCTTCAGATACAATCTCGTCTCGAGTCCTCCAGTTTAAGCGCAATCCGGCACCACTCTGCTGCTGCTGCTGCTGCTGCTGCCACTCGGTCTCAAGCTCTTTCTGCGATGGCCCCGGCAATGGGACAATCACTCCTTTGTGGAGCATGGGTTCTCTTTGCTCTATTGAGCTTCGTGGATGCGACGGTGCTCTTCTCTACACTGCCGAGGACTCTCGCGGTGGAAGACGAGATTCAAGATCAGGTGCCCGCGATGGGACTGGCAAAAGCAGGCGACGACCACCTGGTGATCAGATGGGTTCTGAACGCTACTGCCCAGGAAGCAGCAGCTCCTGGCCTCGATGCATCGTACGAGAAGGTGAGCTTGAAGCTGTGCTACGCACCTGTGAGCCAAGTGGAACGAGGCTGGAGAAAGAAGAATGATGACCTTCACAAGGACAAGACCTGCTCCAAGGCCATCGCCACACAGAAGTATACATCCTTGGGAAACAGCACCGTATGGAGAATCACCAAGGACGTTCCCGGAGCTGTGTACTTCGTTCGTGCATACGTGTTGAATTCGAACGGGACCCAAGTGGCTTATGGCCAGACCAGGAACTTGATCACAATCGAGCCCATCTCCGGGAGACATGCATCGATCGACGTGGCTGCTGCCATCTTCTCTGCATTCTCTGTGGGGTCTTTGATCTTTTTCCTCGCTCTCGAAAACATGAGAGGCAAGCGCTCGAGCGGTAATAAGTAGTTTAGTTTAGCGCCGATTGAATAGATTTGCCAAGTTAATTAGCTCAGGAACTGTTGAGACTCCTTCAGTGAAGAAGAATTTGCCGATTATTCTGCAAAGAGACGGTAGATGATAGCGATTCTGTAGAGACGCTTCCATCCTTCGTGATTTCTTCTTGAATCATGTCAAGTGGCACATTCAATAAAACAAGGTCGATTATATCAGCTTCTGTGATTCGAAGTCAATTTTGGCACGATTGAGTCTGTCTGATGTAGGAAATGTATGAAGTAATAATGTACGTACGTATCTACTTCAAGCATATACTGTAAGATTGTATTTCTGTATTTATTCATCTTCTTCACATAACATATATAATGCAGTTCATGAATACATCTCGAGAATGAAATTATTCTCTTAAGCATCGATAGTTATTCTTCACAGATTAAATTGGGCTTCAGTTATGCATATTAGTAGGCCTCCATATCTGTTAACAGTGGTAATCAATGTCAGTTGGTAAATTTTCTCTTCCATTATATATAATTTTCTGAATAAAATATGCAATATACTTATAGTAGCTCATAAGTGTATTGGGCAAGCTTCAAAAAGATCTCAGTTTCGATAAGTATTCAAACACGCAAGGTGACTTACGTGTTGAAATTAAAGTAAAACAGTGGAGCAAAGCTTTCATGGATCATGTCAAGAGTTAAATTAGAACGCCTTCCCATGTAAAGCCCACATTATGCAGAACAAACTGCATTTCGTACCTTCCTGTGCAAAATATGACTCAGGAATATGATTACTAAGAGGGCAAGTGATTTCACAAAAAGAAACTTAAAATTTTTGGACACAGCTTCAGGATTCGATTTAGATTGAATACTTGTATTTTATTCAACCTGGCCAATCCCGTAGATTGGCAAGAATTCCACCATAGGAGACGTCGCAGCCCCACGGGCCGAAATGGATATGTTTTAGTAGCATTAATGGGGTTTCCTTTTCAATGTGAGAACCATAAAGGAACCAATTGATATGACAAAATGGTGGGAAAGAACTTCTTCAGTAATGAAAATAAGTAATTTTATTGTAAATCTAAGTAATGAGTGAGTAACAAATCGTTATAGAATTATGAGTCCAAAATGATTACTCGTATTTAATTTTATGTTATGAAGTTAGTAAAGTTAACATTAAACATTGAAATCAATCATTAAAAGAGTGTTACTTTTAGATTAATGTACGTTTTCGTTTGAAATGTAAACGAGTAAAAAATACAAAACTGTGATGGTATTTAGAACATAAAAAAGAAACAAGTGAAAGGGGGTGAAGGTGGAGATGGACCTGGATATTGTGGTGTGGTTTCGTAGGTGAAAGATAAGGGTATGATTGGGGTGAAAGAAAGAGAAGATTTGGTGGTAAATGGGTTTAGGGTTTTTGGCCACTAGAAGTAAACAACGAGGAACCACTCTCGGTGTGTGGAGAGGTGTTGATGGATGTCAAGAAGGGAGAGTAAACTACAATTGGATGCCGAAGGGGAAAGTGAATTTCTTTTTGAGTAAACTTTTGGAAGTGATATGCTAGAGAAGGAATTGTATGAGTTGAAGAGAGAATAAAATAGAGTGAAATTTTGGAACTTTGAAGAGAGAATATTTTGGGAGTGAAAAGATTGGTGAATATCGGAACTATGAAAAATGGAAGTTTGGAAGTGAAAAGAATGGTTAATTTCGGAACTATGAAAAGTGGAATTTTGGAAGTGAAAAAAAGGTGAATTTCGGAACTATGAAAAGTGGAATTTTGGAAATGAGACGAGTGTGGAATTTGGAATTGTAAACCGTGTAATTTTAGAAGTTACAAGAAAAGGATTTCAGATATGAAGAGAAAATAGAATTTTAAAACTTTGAAAAGAGTTGAATTTAGAACGTCATATAACACTAAGGTTTAGAAAAAAATTCATTCAAAGATAGAATCATAAATTCGGAATATGAAAGATACCAATAATGATTGAACTTTTTTTTATATAGCTCTCATTAACAAGAAAATAAGATTTTATCTTCACCATCTAACCCACTTCTAGTGGATATATGACATGACGGATAATTCTAAAAAACACACCGATCGTTAACTTGACTCTCCCAATCTAATACACTCAATCTTTATCTAACAAACATTCGTATAGATAACATGACATTTTTAGTTAACACACCTACTCTTTACCTATAAAACGCGTGGATTGTTGATATGTCAACTATTACTAGTGTACGCCTAAGTATATATATCAACATTTAGAATAACTTCTATTTTAACTCTAACCAACTAAAGATGATTACACGTCACAAAACGATTTTGAATGTGTTAAAAATCATTGGAAATAGAAATTTTGAAACTATGAGGAAAAGTGAATTTCAAAACTATTTAGAAAGAGTAATTTTTGGAATTGCTAGAGATAGAATCTCATAGGTGTAAAATTTTGAAGTTACTAGAGAACGATTTTTGGAGATGAAAATAAATGAATTTCGGAAATGTAATTTCTGAGGTGACAGAAAATAAATTTTGAAGTTATGAGAGAATGGAATTTTTCGAATGAGAGAATAGTGATTTTCTGAGTTGCCAGATCTGCGTGAAAAAAATGCGATTCCGGAATAAAAAAGGAATGCAACTTCTAACGTGACAATAGTTGAACTTCGATAGTGATAGAGGAGGATTTGGGAAAATGACTTAAGTGGTTAGGTGCACCTTGTATTACAATGATTATGAGGGGGAGATATTAAACTGACAAGAAACTCTCTCTTTACAATCATAACCTACAACTTGACAATAGTAGCGATTTTACTTGCGAAGGAATGTTCTTTGCGCAAGAGTACTAGACGGACATAGTCAATGGTGCCAAAATTGGGTTGGAAGCACATAACCTGATATAATCAACCTTGTTTTTATTGAATGTGCCATTTGACATGATTCAAGAAGAAATCACGAAGGATGGAAGCGTCTCTACAGAATCGCTATCATCTACCGTCTCTTTGCAGAATAATCGGCAAATTCTTCTTCATTGGAGGAGCCTCAACAGTTTGTGAGCCAACTAACTTGGCAGTTCATTCAATCTGTGCTAAACTAAACTACTTACTGCCGCTCGAGCGCCTGCCTCTCATGTTTTCCAGAGCGAGGAAAAAGATTAAAGACCCCACAGAGAATGCAGAGAAGATGGCAGCAGCTACGTCGATCGATGCATGTCTCCCGGATATGGGCTCGATTGTGATCAAGTTCCTGGTCTGGCCATAAGCCACTTGGGTCCCGTTTGAATTCAACACGTATGCACGAACGAAGTACACAGCTCCGGGAACGTCCTTGGTGATTCTCCATACGGTGCTGTTTCCCTGGGATGTATACTTCTGTGTGGCGATGGCCTTGGAGCAGGTCTTGTCCTTGTGAAGGTCATCATTCTTCTTTCTCCAGCCTCGTTCCACTTGGCTCACAGGTGCGTAGCACAGCTTCAAGCTCACCTTCTCGTACGATGCATCGAGGCCAGGAGCTGCTGCTTCCTGGGCAGTAGCGTTCAGAACCCATCTGATTACCAGGTGGTCGTCGCCTGCTTTTGCCAGTCCCATCGCGGGCACCTGATTCTGAATCTCGTCTTCCACCGCGAGAGTCCTCGGCAGTGTAGAGAAGAGCACCGTCGCATCCACGAAGCTCAATAGAGCAAAGAGAACCCATGCTCCACAAAGGAGTGACTGTCCCATTGCCGCGGCCATCGCAGAAAGAGCTTGAGACCGAGTGGCAGCAGCAGCAGCAGAGAGGTGCCGGATTGCGCTTCAACTGGAGGACTCGAGACGAGGTTGTATCTGAAGCAGACACACGACTCCCAGCTCCGGAGTGTGCTCTTTCTGTGCAGATCAAGGCGTGATTGACTGCAGACAAGTAGCTTAGATTGAGAGCGGAGAGAATCGCTGGAAGCTTCAGTGGGAGAGGAGAGAGAGAGACTGCTATTGGAATTCGAACCTCAATTACTCCTTATAAGCCCATCCGCGTAAGTCTCGAGGGGTGGAGGGATAGGCAGCCTCTGCCAGATTCTCCTCCGTACATGGGTACGACTCGCTCGAATCCAGGAAAGAAAATGCTTATTCCCAAGCCCGATTGACTGCCCGGTATGCACAAACAAACAACAAGCCGTACGTACGATGGAGAGACTTTAGCAATCAAATAGAGATCCAGTGACACTGATGAACTCTAAAACTGGGGTGCTGGTGCTGGTTCGAAAACAATATGCAGAGACAACCAACAAGACGTGTACTTCTTCCTCGTATGGCCAACTGGAAATCAGGATTCTGGATCCAAGCGGAATTCAAAGACGCGGCGATCCTGGCAGACGGCAGGAACCTCCACAGGGTGAGGAGGAGACTTGTCAGCCCCAAATAGACAAAATGCGGCGTTTTGCTTCACTGGCCCCACCGCAACCGAATGCACTCAGAAGCCGTACTCCTGTACCTTCAGAATCTCTTCACTGCTACTGCTGATACTACTCCTGCAGCGCTAGCTCGAGCCCCACTGGAAGTCAAACTTGCCACAGACGATAACGAGCTTCTCGCTCTGTATATATAGAGCACTTCTCTGCTCAATCAAAATCATCCTTTCGTAGTGTCTCTGCCTCCATTCTCTCTCTTCAACTTCCTCAGTGTTTTGTCCCTGACCTCGAGTCAGGAAATTACAACTGCTTGGATCGGGACAAACACTCAGAGGGGTTAGAGACTGAATGTGTAGAGCTTCTGACACATCCGATTCGTTACAATTTTGTACGATTGTCATCATTATACGGAGTTGGTGAAGCCACACTCCAATTTCCCGCATTCTTCAATAGCTTGTGACGGGTTATTCTATGCTTCACGAGTAACGCATTTCAGTTTCGTTTCTGAGACTCGGAATCCTGAGCTATGGCTCCCAACAGCGACTGGCAGGAGGGAAACGCCAAGGGCGAGCCCGGATCGTCCTTGCATGGAGTCACTGGTCGAGAGCCCGTGTTCCAGATGACTATGGAGACT